CCCCCCCGCCATTCAGGCTTTGCAGCCTGAACTTGCTATCTTGCCTGGCGAGGCCCGTCCGCACTGGGCTCTCCTCCTATCCCCTCCCTCCCTGGGTCCTCCACTCCAGCCTTCTGGGCCTCCATCTGTCCCCCAGTACCATTCGTCTGTACAGGCTGTAGGCTCTGCCTGGGATGCCCTTTCCCGTCTGCATTTTTCAGTCCCGCCTCAGATGTATCCCCTCTGGGGCACCTCTCTCCCCTGCGTTTCTTTCTGAGGCAGCATCTGTGAGGGGCTTTCCTGGCTGAGCTCACACAGTGCTGTGTTCATACCTCCACCGGAGAATCTTTCACACAGTCACAGTTGTCACTCAGGTTGGTCTGTGCCAAGATCTCTGAGTGCCCGCAGGGTAGGGGCTGTGGCTAAGTTGTTCCCTACATTTCTTTTGGGCTCCAGCACATGGCCTGGCCCAGAACAGTAGTGCAGGAGCGTTTGTTGCTGGAATGATTGAGAATCATCCAGTGTGATGTCTGTAGTAAGGCAACATCGGAAGCTGCTTTGTTGGTTTCCTTAAGGTGACCAGTCTCTGAAAAACAGGGGCAAAAGTGACCCAAGAGATGTGGGAGGAAGCCAGGCTGCCTACGAGGAAGGTCCCTGCTGTGTCTCCTGTCTCCAGAACCCATAACGTCCCTTCTGCAGATGAGGAAACTGGGACCCTAAATGGTTAAGTAACTTGCTTAAGGTCACATGGCTAAGAGAAGGCAGATCCAGGACTCCCACCCAGGCTGCCTGACTCCCACTCTGTACCTTTTGCTCCATAGCTCACTGTACTAGTGGGGACCAGCGGCAGGGGGCAGGAGGGGTGCTACAAATACTTAGGACTTTTCAAATGGATACATGATGAGTTTATTTCTAGTGTGGAGGCATTTGAGGGTTTTGTGGTTGAGGTTTGGGAGAGAGATCAGAGCTCAAGAGCTTTACATGTTATATGCAGACAGATGAGACTGAAATAATGGGGCTCAATGTTTATGTTTCCATGGGGTACAATGTTAAGGAAAGTGAGGAGAGAGGGGCACAGACCCTGGTGTGGAGGTCGCAGCTGCCTGGTCATCCCTCCTGAGGGCAACCGGGGGAGGGTGGTCAGTTCTGGCCCTGTTGAGTGTGGGCTGCCTGAGGGCCAATCCAGGAGGCAGTGGAGGTATGGGTCAGGAGCAAAGAGGAGAGGTGGGAACAAGCAGAGGTCATTAGCTTGAGGGTGGCACTTGGTGCCGTGGAAGCAGAGGAGGTGGCCAAGGTGGTGGAGCATGCAGATGGAGAGGAACGCTGGGAACACCAACATTTAAGGAGAAGAAGAGGAGAAAAAGGCAAAGGAGACTGGGGAGGTGTGGCAAGGGAGATAGGAGGTGGTATCACAGAGTCCTGATGGACGGACAGGGGAGGGAAGGCGGGAGTGGCCCACTGGTTTAGTGGTCCTGAATGGCAATAATGATAGGAGTGTCTCCATTGGGTCTGACACCATGGGGCTCCCTGATGACCTAAGAGAACCGAGGGAGGTTGAATTAGGAAGTTAGGATCAGTCTTACACCATGGAGGATTACAGTCCAGAACTCTGAAGCAAGACTGTTTGGGTTCAAATCCCAGCTCTTCCCCTTGTTACCTGTGGAAATTGCAGCAAGTCACTTGGGCTCTCTGTACCTCAGTTTGCCCATCTGGAAACATGAGCACTAACAACAGTGCCCACGTCCGGGGTTGATGTGGAGAGTTAATGCATGCAGAGTCATGAGAATGGGGTCTGACCCTCAATCAACAGTAGTGTTATTAGCTATTAGTAGTATTAGCTAACAGTAATTAATTTAGTAGCTATTAGTAATGAGATGTTTTTTTTTGAGGAAGATTAGCCCTGAGCTAACTACTGCCAGTCCTCCTCTTTTTGCTGAGGAAGCCTGGCCCTGAGCTAACATCTGTGCCCATCTTCCTCTACTTTATATGTGGGATGCCTACCACAGCATGGCATGCCAAGCAGTGCCATGTCCGCACCCGGGATCTGAACCGGTGAACCCCAGGCCGCCGAGAAGCGGAACGTACGAACTTAACTGCTGCACCACCGGGCCGGTCCCAGTAATGAGATTTTGAGAATTGGCCAATCCTGCAGTATCAGATTTTAAGCTCCTTGGAGACAGCTGGCATTTGGGGATGAGGTAACTGCCCCAACCTGAGTGTGGGTGGCTGCTGGGTGATTAACTTATGTTTCTTTCTTCCATAGGTCTTGCCCGGGCTCCAAAGACAAGGAGGTCCCCAGCCCCAGAGAACCCAACAGAGAATTGGCTAGTGAAGAGGCCTTCAAGGTCCCTGATCCGGACTCTGAAAGGTAACTCAGTGCAGGCACATGGTGCCCACGTGGCCCCCGATCCAAGGTCAATGGATGGAGCTGGGACCAGGACTATTCCATTCCCCACTGTGTCCCCAGTGCCTGTGGCAGTGCAGGTCCTCAATGAATATCTGTTGAAAGAATGAATGAAGGAATGCACGAGGCCTGGAGAGGGACAGGCCCCTGCCAAGATTCCTCAGGGAGCTAGTTGCAAAGGAGGATGAAACTCTTGGCCCAACCTCACTGTGGTTTTACTCCATTGAAATCAGCCCTGCTCATGGCCAGGGCAGGCAAGGCTGCCAAGCTGGCAGTTTGGGGAAGTCAGCAGCCAAAGGATGCATGGGCCCCAGCAGAGCATCTAGTAGGGACGTCCAGGATGACCTGTGGACAAAGAGAGACGTGGAGGGAGCACAAGGATGGGAGGCAAGCCATAGTCGGGGAGGATGAGTCCAGAGGGGATGGTTGTGCCCAGCCATCCCATGACCACCCAAGCCAGGGAATGGTGAGCAGTGGCTGAGAGTTGGGCATTTCCTCAATGGGAAACTGGTAGCCAGTAATGTATAAGAGCCCACAGCTTTGTCTGCTTGCCACTACCTTCTCAGTGTGGAGCACTGACCCCTAGTTGGGACTCAGCCCTAGGAATAAGGGAAGGGGCCCCAAGATGGCTGGGGAAGCCTTATCTTGCCCTGGGCTCTATGGTTTATTAGTGGCCCCAAATGCCTTGCCCCTTGTTCTGTTGGCCATTGGCCCGCCATCATGCCAACCTCCTCCCGAGTTGCCACTTTGCTCTCTTTCTTGGCTCCACTATTGCTTTCAGCTCATCAGGTTTGGAAGAAAAGCAAAGATACTTGCTGATATTGGCTTGGCTCCAATCAGAGCAGTGCACGGTGGCAGCCAAGGGCCTGGGCTACTGGTCCTTGAAGCCTGCTTTTAGGATATCTGAGTTAGATTAGGTCAAAACCCAATCAGAGTCACTAAATGCTTCTTTTCCCATAACAGGTCAAGTGCACAGTCAAGTGATGGAAATGTGAGATCTGGAGCCTTGGGCTCCCCACTTGAAGGCTTGGCTGGAGCAGATATCAGCTCTGAGAGAGGAGGGTGAGCTGCCTGGGAGAGGCAGGTGGCCCCGAGTTGTTGATTTTCTAATGTCCCTGGTGACAAGCTGTCCCAGGGTCAAGCTGCCAAAACAGTTTGGGCTGCTGCGGGCCAACCACTGGTCATTATGTGTAGTCCTGTCTACTGCACTCCCACCCCCACCACATCCTTTGTCCCTGGGCATTCCACTTGTGGGAATTACCTATGCTTCAATCTTACTTCTTCTCCTACCCTCTGCCATTGGTTCTCAGCTCCTCCAGAGCAGGCATAAAGGTCCACTCGCAGCTGGAGGCCCAGCCCTCACCTGATTGGGCACCAAGCAGGTAGGATGAACGTGTGGGGAATGAAGGAAGGGACAAACTAACAAATGAATGACCGAATGATGGATGAATCGGTGACTTCTTTCTTCTTGGCTGAGCTCTGAAGATAGCTAGAAGGAGGTCTTCTAGCTTCTTCCCTGCTTTCTCCCTTCCTTCCAGAAGCCCGCAAACCTCCTTTTCCTGCCTCACCCTCCTCCCCTGGCCATCTCTGCTCTGAGGTTCAATGAGAGGAAAAGCAGTGGCCCCAGTGAGACAAGCTAGGAGACAAGTGTGTCCAGCTGGGCTCTGAGTTCCTGGATCTGGGTGGAGTCAGGGGCCACTTTCTCAGGTGATTTGAGAGTGGCAAGGTCCCACCTGTCCTAAAGTGGTTCCAAACCAAGCATGAGTCATCCTTGGGGGCAAAGGCTAGGCATGCACATATTGGCACAGATAGTTCTACTCTAAGCTGTGCTGGAGTCCTCATGCTTCAGAGCAGATGGCCAGAGAGGAATGGTAAAGCCGGTGTCTGTAGAGAGCCATGAGTGCACGCTGCAAGCAGGCACCTCTGCGCTCCAGCGGTCTGGCTGAGGAGGGAATCCCAAGGAAGAGCCTCTGCTGACTGCTTTGCTGACCGGCCCTCCTGGCTGCCTCTGCCCACCCAAGCCCACGGGGGGCCCCTTGCCCTCACTAACTTTACTAGTTTGCAGCTGATGCCTGGACCCAGACTCCTGACTTCCAAATCCAGGAGCACAAGCCAACACGGGAAGGGGACAGCAGGCCCCAGCCTCTGACCACTGTGCCTCAGCAGGTGCAAGGAGAGGCCACTAGTGGGGAGGACCGTGCGAGAGCCCAACACGTGAAGCCTGCATCACTGTGTGCTGGCCACCGCAGTCGTGCAGATTGACTCAGTTCGCTGGTGGCTGTCGTGGAAGACTTCTGGCCCAGTGCTTCATCTTTGAATATTCATCCAGATCATCCTTCTTGCTTATGCACCCTCATAAAATGAAGTCTTTGCTTTCTGCTTTCAGTTTCTTTAAAGTGAAGCCAAACTTCAAATTAACTTGCAGAATAATCTGAAGAATCTTCTAGATTTTTATGATTTTTAACTCAGCCTTTTATGTTGTCTTATTTATATTTATTTTGACAAAGATTTTTAAGAAACTTGCCTATATTGTTTATCCATAGAAAAGGCTGCTTCTCTTGGAAAAAACAACCACTCTCCTTTTCCATTCATTTGCATGAGTTTACATAATAATTGAATTTAGTGATTATGGTTACAAGTACAATTGGCATAAATGGAGAATGTAGCCTCCCCCTGGGAAGGCTGGGTAAGAGAGCACCCACTCAATTGATATCAAGTTGGTGGATACAGATGGACAGCAAAGGGCAACAGGGCCCAGTAATAATAACAGGAACACTTTCCCATGTGCTAGGGCACAGGCATTTATTATTATTATTATTATTATTATCATTATTATTATTATTACTCGAAGTACTCGGCTTCTATTAACTCATTTACTCTTCTCAGGAAGCTTGTGAGGCACAAAAAATTATCACTCCCATTTCACTGATGATCAAACTGAGGCCCAAAGAGGTCAGGTGATATGCCCAAGGTCACACAGCAGGGTGGTAGCAAAGCCATGATTTGAATCTGAGCAATGGGCCTCCAGGGAGTATGCACTTAGCCACTAGACCACACTGACCCAGTGTCAGGCAGCCATGGGATACAGGTGAATATTGTGCCCCAAGCATCTGTTCAAGCAGCTTTTCAGTCCCCATCATCTGTTGGGGAAAGAACCCACCCTTTTGGGAGGGAGTAGACATATAGACACAAAGTCCTGAACCCAGACCGGGCTTGACCTCCTTCCACAGGCTGTGCTCAGCTGCTGGCTTCACCCCTCTCCTGGATGATCAGGGTATGCATGGTGCCAACGCTCAGCCTTGCAAGCCTGGACCAGCAGCCACCAGGTAAGGGTGGGGTGACTGCCAGGTGACCAGTCCCATTACCAGACACAGCATTCAGGGTTCAGCCTTAGCTCCAGTGCCCCAGAATCTGCCTTGCACTTCTCAGCTCCATGCCACCTTCACATCAGGTGATCACTGCAAGAGACGGAAGGCTGGTAGGGGCGGTGGGGGAAGAGGAACAGGTGATAAGTCAGGGGACCCAGACAGCCCAACACCTATCCACAGGGACCCAAGCTGAGGTGGCGGGGGAGGAGGGGCATCAGGAGGCAGAGCTTGGGAAGAGACCCTGCCAAGAAGTCTCAGTGAACCTCTCCTGTAGGGACTGCAGCCCAGCCCAGCCCAGCAAGCAGTAGCCAGGGGGAGGAATCCCAGGGACAGCCAGCTGGCACTAGAGAGCTCAGTCCCAGGGAGCACGTGGAGGCAACTGGGAAGGCACATGGCTCCAGGAGCGCGAAGGCGCAATGGGAAGAGGTTGTGCATTCCCAGGCTGCAGGCTTCTGCCCTATTTCATCTACCAATCCACCAGTAGGAGGACCATTTTGCTGTGAGTGTGTGGAGCCTTTAGTAAGGAATGATCTTTCTGGACTCCCACAGAACCTCAGGCCGTATAAGTCAGGCAAGGATACTGGAACCTCAAACCAGGAGACTTCCTCAGGGACTGTGAGCTGGGCAGGGGCAGTGCCTGGTCTTGAGCTCAGGGTGCTAAGGACACAGCCAGGGCTCACAAGATGTTATCACGCACAGTGGCATCTGTGCCACACTAATGGCAGGACTAAGAGGCCAAACTTTATTGACAGATGTAGGTCTCCCTTTCCTGTGAGAAGGCGGCCGGGAAGGGGAAGACGTGGGACCCCAGTCTCCTTTGGTCTGAGGCCTCAGTGGACCTGTGTGGTTCCTCCCTCAGCTCCAGTACTACTCTGGCCTCTGCTGTCCTGGCTGACAGGAAGAGTGACAGCCCAGCAGACCTGGAGGACGTGAAGGCAGACCTGAAGGGGTAAGGCATCAACCAGAAGCTGCTGAGCTTCGGCAGTGGAGAGAGGCAGTGCAGGTGTGCATTAGCCTTTGGCTGGGAAGGTGAGGCCAGTGAGGCCTGTGAGCTGGTCTGAGGCACATGGCAAGGGCTGAAACCCCAGTTGGAACCCTCTGGCCTCCGCCTCTTGGGCCACGGAGCCTTCCACTACACCTTGTTGCTTCCAGCCAGGAACTCCTCCATAATCAGGAAGTCACCTACTTTTTCAGTCAGCAACCACTTGGACAGCACCTGCCCTGTGCTGCAGGCTGGAATACACAGACAAATCAGACATGGCTGATGGGGGGCAACGTCCCACCCAGACTGGAACATCCCATCATTGCTGGAGTAGGGGAAGTGGGGTCCCAGGATGGCTTTGTGGGGGAGGTGGCTTTTGAGCCGAATCTTGAAAAGTGAATAGGAGTCCTCCAAGCAAAAGGAACAGGATATACAAAGGACTCCAAACAACCTGGTGTTTCCTGCAGGTCCTTGTTGGGGAATGGTGGAATAGGAGGTTGTCAAGGTAGGCAGGGACTGATTGGCCTTTAACACCAGATATTGTTAGTGATCACAACAGCTACTTAACTTTGGGGCACCTACTGTGTGCACAGCCTTATATTCAGTGTCTCATACAGCCCTCCCCACAATCCTGCAAGGTTTTCACCTAATTAGAGTGAAGAACAAAGGCCTGTCCCAGGTCTCTGTGCCTCCTGGGAAGAACAGTGCTCTGAAATAAATAGCCAAGGTGCTGATATAGAGAGTGATGGCAGTGAGGACGGCTACTACTTAGATGGGTGGAGGGGGGCGACTCAGGCAAGCTCCTCTAAGGAGGAAAAGGAACCAACTCTAGGAAGAGCAAGGAGAAAAGAGCTGCAGATAGGAAACCGCAAGTCCAAAAGCCCTGTGGTGGGAACATGCTTAGCATGTTCTAAAGCATAGAATGGCTGGAGCCTAGCTGGTGAGAGGGACCAGAGATGGAGCAGGGCCGTGGTAAGCCATGATAAGGAGGTTGGATCTTATTTCAAGTTTTAAGCCAAAGAGAAACATGGTCTGATTGAGGTGTTTAAAAGGTGAGTGCATTTTTGCATTTTCACACTGCATTGCAGCTACTTTTTCACATTTGTCACCTGCACTTAAACCGGGCTGCTAGGGGGTGGAGTGGGCAATGGGCTTTTTTGTTTCAAATTGCACTGACAATTTTAACAGAGTGAAAACAACTGACACCTATAACGCACTCTGCTAGGTGCTCTACAATCTTCTCAGCAACTCTGTGAAATGGATAAGATGGGGAAACTGGGGCATAAAGGCGAAGTGACTTGTCTAAGGGCTTACAAGTGGCAGATCTGAGTCCAGACACAAGAGGCTCTAAGAAAAACTTCAGGAAAAACTTTAAAAAACTAGTTTATGAAATTTATCCTTTGGAGACTACTCTCAAGACTCAGAGCCACTAACACTCAGCTGGTTAATGTGTAAAGCGTGCTGTGTCCATGATCTCATCTACTATTTCCCAAACCTGGGGAACGATCTGGCTTCTTATTCTTCAGTTTAACAGTGGAGGAAATTGGAGGGCTCCTGTGAGGAGCAGAGCTAGGAATGCAGCCCACATCTGCCTAACTGTAGAGCCCAGGCTTGTAACTACTTACCTCCGATGTTTAAAAGTTTGCAAAATCAATACAAACTTTCTTGATCACAGTGTTTCACTGTGAACTGGCTGCGCTTGAAAATCATCCAGAGAAGTGTTTAAAAAAAAGAAAAAAGATTCTTGAGCGCCACACAGAGATTTATAGTTAATTGTTCTAGGGTGGACCTCCACCATCAATGTCTTTTTTTTAAACTCCCAGTTTATTCTCCTGTCCAGTCTAGGTTAGTAATCATCGTTCGTGGGTAGTGGTTCTGAACTAGGGGCATCTCTCCCATCTCGCCACCCGCTATGGGTCACTTGGCAATGTCTGGAGACACTGTTGATTGTCACAACAGGGAGGAGAGTGTAACTGGCAAATAGTGGGGGGAGACCAGGGATGCTGCCCAATGTCCTACAATGCACAGAGCAGCCCCCACCACAGTTATCCAGTCCAAAATGTCACTAATGGCGAGGTTGACAAACCCTGTACTAGTGCTTTCACGATCTCCGTGGGAAACCGGGAGATTGTGGATTGGGAAGAAAAAAGAGGTGAGGACAGACTCGCCTTGCCTTCCAGGGATCCGAGCAGCCAGCACAAAACACCTGCGCCTGCGCCCGTGCATCTCCGACTCACGCGCACCAGGCCGCGTCTGCGTCTAGCCGCGCGCGAGACCCTCCTGGATGCGCCTGCGCGCTTGCGTCCGGCGTGTGTGCGCCTGCGCGCGCCGCCATTTCCTGCTGCCGCGAGCTTGGATCGCAGTGCCTCTCGGGAAATGCGACCGTCCTAGAACGAAATGGCTGACCGGGGCGAGAGCGGCTTCGGCTTCGCTTCTGCTGCGGCCGTGCCCGCGCCGGCCGCCAGATGGCGCACGAGGATCACAAACGGGCCGGGCTGCGCATCTCTGGCCAGCCTGGGCTCGCGCCGGCCTTCTGGTGCGGAGCCTACTGACCTTGGGGTTGAAGCAGGCCCCGCTGTCCAGACGAAGGCGGGAGAGAGGAAGGGAGCTGGGTGCTCGCAAGGAGCCCAAAGGGGCTCCTGAGGTCCGAGGCTGTTCGGCAGGGCGCCCTGGCGTCGGTCGTCTCCGGGCACTGGACACTGGTCTTCGGAGCTGCCCGGGGGCAGGGGTTGTGGACACGCGTTGAGGACAGCCGGGCCCTCCCACCGCGAGGGACCCTCGGGCGGACCTGCCTGCCCTGGGCTCTGGGGTTCCGTGGAGAGGGGCTTGGTTCCCAAGAGCTGGGTGAGGAAGGGTGAGGGGGCTGGGCCGGGAGATATTGCACAGCAGTGGAACTGTCCCAAACTTGAGGGACTCTGCCGTACGCTACCCTCTTGTTCTTGCTTCATCACATACAGGAAGAGGCGTATAGTACGGTGATTAAGAGCATGGACTTGGGTTCACATCTAAGCTCTGTCACTTACTTGCTGTGTGGCCTTGGGTATCTTACTCATCTCCTCTGTGCTTTTTTCCTTACCTGTAGAATAATGGCATACACGAATGTAGGACATTTCCTAGCACAAAGTACTATATAAACGTCAAACTTTTGTTTTATAAAAACCTCAAGCTAAATAAAGCAGCCCCAGAGGAATACCTCCTTCCACCAGAAGTGTTCAAGGACACTTCGAAAGCTGGCCTCTGCTCCCCTTTCCCAGCTTTATCGGCCTGATTTCATTTAGTGAGATACAGAGTAGCTCATCCCGTCTCCACTAAACTTTTGTTATCAGACTTTACATCTAAAACATATGCTGTTTTCCTCTTTGTTATGTTGCAAGTCTGGGCTTTTCAGGTTTATGTTCTTTCTGTGCGAGGAACAGGTGAACTTTAAGTACGTTTATTCACTGTGGACAACTGTTGTCAACCAGTGGAGGAGTCTAATGGAGGTAGTGCAAGAGTAGAAAGGGGTATTCTCTTCCACGTAGAGAGTGTGATTTGTTGAGAATTGGCAGTAGCTGTATTATACTACTGGATCGTTGCTCTAGTTACAGCCAGAAGTGGTACCTTGCCTATCTCTGAACACTTGACTTCTAGGCCATTCATTAGGGGCTTGGAAGGCCTCTGGGATGTTACATTGCTCAGCAAGACTTCCTGTGACTGTTTTTACTAAGATTTCCTTTTTATAGGTTACACCTCCCATAATAGTAGTGGCTGCTCTGAGGCCTAGGGCGAAGGAGCCTTATTCATCCACTTGTGTCTGTATTGCACTGGATCCCTAAATTGCTCTTTGTAGAGAATCTTGGCTTTATTCACAAACTTGGTGAGGACAACCTCTATTACTGTAATTCTATAGAGGACATGGGCTCGGACAGGATTCTGATTAAGTCCATGGTAAAGCTAGCTCAGGGCTCCCAGAGTTGGAAAACAAGCTCTTTAGGCCTTCTAGGTTGTCTTTGCCTCAAGTATGTATGTCACAGGCAGAGGTAAGGTGGGTGTATCGGGGCATCCTCCTGGCCAAGGGACTGGCATTACCTGAGAAGACCACTTTTGGTATCTGGCTGGGCTGCAGCAGACCATCAGGGTAGAAGTGGCACAAAGAGGCACAGCACCCACTTGCCTGAAGATCTGCCAGGTGCAGCTGGAGGTGGTGATCACCTTGTCTGCTGTAGGATTTTGGTTCCTTCCACCTAAGCCCGAAGAGTCACATTTCTTTCAGGCATACTCTCCGGAAAGTATGGTCATTGCTCCTCTTGTTATTCCAGCTTGAAGACAGGGAGCCTGCCTACTATGGGATTAACTTCCATGAATAAAAAGTCCCAGGGATAGGTGTAGCTGGTGGTGGTGTCTTCCTATCCTGGGATGGCCCCACCAGCAATTGGAGGCAGGCTGCTGATGCCGGGAAGGTTGAGTTCAAGATGAGCCAGGATCAAGGTGATGATGAGCTAGATTTCCATTTTCTGGTATGAAAGTGACTGGGCTCATGTTCTCAATAATCTGACTCAGTCTTTGCCTCTGGCCTAGGGGGCATATGACATCTTTGGTGCCTGAGGCTGCCAGGCCATCACCATCACCATCACCATCACACAGGATAGAGGTTTTGGAGGATGCACCAGCAGTGAGAAGCACCTGAGGATGGGGATGGTGATGGGAGGCCATGGAGGAAGGAAGACCTCCCAAAGAGTTCAATGCATGGGACAGGCAGGAAGCCACTCCCTCCTTGTTGGATTCAGGGGATGGCAAAAGCATTGGAGGCTCAGGCTTCATCTAGCACAGGTGGAGATTGCCTTTGTTGGTGAGAAGGGAGCAGCAGTGCTGGAGCCCTCCCTAGGAGAAGACAGACTCTCCCCAAGGTGGGGGTCATGCCAGGCTCCTCTACACCCCACCCTCTGGAAGAGGAGCCCGCTACTGCCGTGGGAGGTGATATCAGTGTGCATTGGGTGAGCAAGGACTGGTCCCACAGCACTCACTCCATAAGGGTGCTCATTCTTCCTCAGCGCCTTGGCTGGTTCTGAGGAGAAGAATGTGGCTGCCAAGGTGGGAGAGGCCTGGCAGGAGAGGCCCGGAACCCCGAGAGGTGACGAGGGAGACCCAGCTGCACCCACCCAGCAGCCTGCAGACCCCAGCACCTCAGAGCTGACGAGCAACCCCAGAAGACCTGAGCCATTCATGGAACTGGACAGCCAGCGCAGCAGGTAAGGGCTATGCTGTGCTGGGCTCCTGCCTGCCCAAGCCAGAATTTTGTCAAGGGCCATGACCCAGGTGGGACCCACTTTCACCCCACATCCATGCTAGTGTCTGGCACATTGCACACCTGGGTGTTCAGGCTCCTGCCTCATGAGTGGGGTTAGGATGGTGACTCCCTGGGCATCAAGCAGTGTCAGGGGGCTTCCTGTGGTGCAAGGAGCTAGGATGGGGCCTGCGATGGGAGCACATGTCTGTCCCCAGAGGTAGGAAGCCCTGGCTAATTCCTGACGTGTAGAGTAGGAAGGCGGTCTCCCAGAGTATAGATGCACTGCAGTTGGGGGTCCCAGGAAGGGTGAGGGATATTTGTGTGTATAAAATGGTGCTATCAGAGAATGACAAAGAGAGAGAGAGAGAGAGTAAAAGCCAGAGAGTGTGACAGGGTGAAGCAGAGAGAGAGAAGGTCAGAATAAGAGGAAGAGAGCATGAGTGAGCAGGTATTAGAGACTGTGACAGTGGCAGTGAGGCTGACGGAGGGATTGTAATTGGCGATGTGTTGGTGCATGTCAGTGTGCATGAATGAGAGGCAAGTGTAACTGTGACTGGAGGTGACCATATGGTGTGTGTGTGAGGTTTTCATGTCAAGGCTCTGCTAACAGCATCTGGCCTGCTGGCCCCTACATTCCGTGTCCTGTACAGCACAGACATGTCTACAGATTGTGAAAATGTAGCGGGCTTGTATTGCTCAGAGAATTCAGGGAGAGCAAAGGAAAGCACTTACCACTTCTGCAGATCCAAGCAAATGGTTTCTCGCATAAGACAGAAATGCTAGAAGGGGAGAGCCGAGACCCTCACTGCCCCAGGAGACAGGAGATGGTATCTGTGGCTTCTTTTGCAGGGATAAAATAAAAACGTTCATCTCCCCTCATGATACTGGGGTTCTTAGACCATGGAGGTTCCATAGTTACTTAGGTAGGAGGCTATTTTTAAGACCAGGCTCACCTGTTAGATAACACATTTTCTTATTTCAGAATATCCACCTTGTCCTTGACTCCTCTGCCCATCCTTGACCCCAGGCCCTGTAAGGGCCCAGACCAAAGATACTGAGTGAACAACTTTGGACTTCCTGCCACAGCATGTGGCTTCCTATACCACTCAGCATTCCATCCAGCAAGAGGGGGTGTAAAAAGTGCAACCCATAGGTGAAGGAGGCAATTGGGTTTCTTTTTGACTGGAGGGTAGTGTCAGGAGAGGCTTTCTTTACAGGTGAGATGAGGTTGAAACTGAAATATTTTGCCAGACAGACACACTGTGAAGGAAATACGGAGTCAGGGTAACTGCAGTGAAGGAAGGGTTAATTGGCAGCTTGGTGGGAAATGTTGAGAGGGGATTAGGCAGGCACCTGCTCCTAGGCTGAGGAGTGTGATCACCTTCTGAGGGCCTCAGGGGCCACTGACAGCTTTCATGCAGGAGAGTGTTACGACCCGACATAACTTCTAGGAAGATTCCTCCCAGCTACTGTGTGGAGGATCATCCCAGGGGGTATACAGTAAGACAAGGTAGGAGACCAGTTAGGAGACTGTTTCCTCAGCCAAGGGACACGTGCTGGGGCCACAAGTCTTGCTGCCTTACTAATGGTAAAGGTGAGGGAAAGTGGTAGCCAAGGCTGCTCCTGAGATTTCAGGGTTGGGTCTGGGTGAATGGTGATGACCTCAAACTTGCGACAGGAACTAGTTGAAGGGTAGCACGAGGTTGAGGGGTGCTGGGCAGAGATATTGTTAGTGAAAGCTTGGTCTCTGATCCCGATGCCAATCCAAATAATGACAACAGAGTCTTGAGTGAAAAAGGAAAGGCTTTACTTTGCCAGGCAGAGGGAGCAAAGCAAGGGCAAGTGCCCCAAGAATTGCTTGCTCCCCATTAAGAAACGGGTAGGGGTTTGTATTTGGGGTTTTAGGTAGGGGAGGGGGGGCCATGGCCTTCTTGGTCAGCATTTCCCCATCTGCCTGTGTCTGGGGCTGCTTCCAGAGGAGGAGACAAAGGATTTCTCAGATGAGCGTCCCGTCCTTGGCTGTTTATCTCCATGGTGGAAGGTAGACTCTGGCATCAGGAAGCCGACGAGTTGGGCCTGGGAAGCTTCGGTATCTTGATATTCTCTGGACATTAGTTTCTCTGCAAAAGAACTTCAAGGTCCTGTGATTAGCCACAACTTTAGTGGGAGCCCAGCGTGAGGTCATCTGGACTTTAACAATTTGTAACTTCTGTTTGGTTGTAAAGCTCAGGGAGTTAGAGGTTAAAGAAAGAAACGTTTAGATATGAGTGTAACTAAAGAACCAGGGAACTGAAAATGTGTGCTTTTAGTTTTAACCCATATATGCTCGGTTCACTGTAGGGGAACTAATGTCAGGGCTGATATTAACTAAGAGTTGGTAACAATATGGTAAGGTCATTTGGGTCATGTTGAATATGAAGTGCCTGTAGGGAATATGGGCAATGATGTCCAGAAAGCTATTGAGTAAACAAGCTTGGAGTTGAGTGACAGTTAGACCAGGGCTAGAGAGTGGATGAGGTTGCCTGGAAAATGTCAGTTGAGTGGGGGATGCCATTTCCTTGGTCTCTTGTTTCTGCTACTGGCCTCCCTCCTCCTGTTCTCTTGGGGAAGAGTGGCTTAATTGGTTGCCAAGTTGGGAACAGGAACTGCATGGACCCAGCTTGACCCTTAATTCTTCCTGTTTTTGGAAGCAGATAACTTTTAGATATACAGCCCAGAAGGTTCCCCTAAATTCTCTGCTTCCCTCCAGAAGCTCCCAGGGCCAGTCGTCCAGCCAAGCCCTTGGCTGGGTGAGTAGGTCCCTGTGTTTCGGGGATGCAAGGGGAGCCTTCCTTCAGAGCTCTACGTGTAAAGCTGTCTGCTTCATTGGCTGACGTTTATCTCCATTTTCTGCTCTTCTTTTGTCTGAGAAAGAAAAAAGGGAGGTATTAATTATTCAACCCTAAAACTCTAATGGAGTATATAAAATGAAAAAAAAGTAAAAATAAGAAACAAAGGCAGATGGGTCGGAATTCTGGAAAATAATATTGAAGGGTCTTATAGAGGAAGAGGAGCTCAGGAGAGCGACATGGAGCTTATGGCTGCCTTGAGGGGGCAGGTTGGTGGAGCAGAAAGGCTGTGGTTGGATTAAGGTGGATTGAGGGGGGAGTAGTGGGTGAGGAAGTGCAGTTGGTGGAGGTACGCAACTCTTTCTAAAATGTTGGCCATGAAGTGATGGATGTGAGAGGGCCGAGTGGATGAAGAGCTACAGGATGATGGGGAGGGCCTTCTAGAGTGCATGCTTATGTGCCCAGGGGAGGAAATACCCACCAGGTAAGGAGATTTGCTGTTTGAAAAGAGAGTGAGCAAACCTGAAGGTGAAGGGTCACTGAGGTCATGGTGGGGGCCGCAGGGTGGTAGGTTCTAGAGCCTTGGGCAGGAAGGAGAATGCTCTGTCTCTGAGACAGGAGGGAAGGCCGAGTGTGCTGTTTCTGAGGTGGGCTGCAACACCCTGGAAATGCCCTTTCTCTCTTCCTCCTAAGTAGTCCACCTCTTGGAGTGTGCTGAGGTGTGGCTGTGGACAAGTCCTCTTTCCAGACCCGGCTGGGCTCTCTATTTCCAGTCATTGGGTCTGGTCACTAGCATGGCACCTGTGTATACTAGGTTCATCAGGAATGGCAACTTTTGGAGTCTGTGATCCAGGGGATTAAGGACCACTTACTGCTAATAGTCCCAAGTAGCAAGCAGTCCCTCAGCCCCAGTCCGGGCATGTGCCAGGAGGAAAGCCAGTTGGTGCACCCTGCTAGTGGACAAAGCTTGACTATCCTGGGATTTTAGGAAATGCAGAGGGAGGCAGAGAGAGAATTGCAAGGATGTAGGCAATGATAACAGCAGAATTGTTAGGGAGAGTGGATGGAGGGTAGGAAAAATCCTTGTTAGTATTTTAGAATGTCTGAATTGACCAGGTTAGAATCTTCGAGAACCCAGTCAGAATAGGGAATTCTCATGGGTGGGCTGGTTATTATTTCATGTGGGGACATGCAGGAGAGGACCAGGTAAAACCTTAGGCTATGAGAAATTGAGTTCTTCCATCAATTTGGCAACTTTTAATTTTTGTAGTCCATTAGCTCTACCATTTCAGATGACTGAGGATAAGGACAATATGACTTGGGGTATAGAGGAAGAACTTGTCGGGTTTCTTGGGTGACTTAACTGGTGAAATGAATTCCTCAGTCACTTGACAGAGCCAGAATTCCCTATGTGGGGGTACTTGTTCTAACAAAAGTTTTGCAACAGTAGTGGCAATGGCCCTTTTAAAAGGGAACAGACATATGGTTGTAAGAACTTATTTTAAACCACGAGATTTAGGAGTGGAATGAAATCAAAATGCCAATGAAGAAAAGGTCCTAAATATCTGTATATTAGTAAAATCCCATAGGTAAGTGATGTGAATTTCGAATCGAAAACCACTGGCCTAGAATACACTGGACTTAAATTAAAAAAAGTAAAATTGCTACTAAGTTAGCATTTAAAATATCATTGAAATTATCACTGACAACACTGTGCTGCTGTTGTCTAATATCAGGCAAGGCAGCACCAGGACTCTGAGAAATGGAAGCATATCATGGGCAATGAGGGCACTGACAAATCTCTAGGAATTTTATATAATTTCTGAAATATTTATATATTTAACATTTTACCCATTAAATTTTAATTTAGGAAAGGCTCAGCATTATTTTGGGGGGGATTTGACAATGCTTCCCATGCAATTTATACAATATTAAATAAACTTAATTATTTTTAGTACTTCTCTTATTACAAAGTGAAAGAACACATAAATCCTTTGGGCCCTCTGGGAAATCCCAGTGTCAGTTTTAGGTGTAAAAGATATGTTGTATTTTATTTGGGGAAGGCAAAATGTCAAATGTTATCAGGAAATTTGAACATTTGACTAAATAAGATTATAGGATAGTGAGAAATAATAGTTATCTATTGAGTCAAAGTCACAAAAAAGTAGACCTAGAAGGTAACATGCTTGTAGACACTCTTAGCTCCTTTAAAATTAAAAAGCCTTTTAAAAAAATAATTGAGGACATGATACAGTCAACGTAAAGGATAGGACGTTAGTTTGATAAGACATAAAAACTTTGCATTTTAGACAGATTACTCAGGAGGAAACAAAGAGCATTTGTAACCTTTTATTAAGAGCAGACCAATGATCCAAGAAAATTTGGTTATTTTAACAGAGAGGAAGCCAAATTTTAGTTTTGCATTAGTATAATATTTGATATTAGAGCTTTTTTGAAAATCTTATAGCCTCAATAATTTTTAGCCAGTTTTGACCATGACAAATAAAATTTCTTTTCTGTGAACCTTTTAGAAGTTTTAAAACATCCATTTATATTCCTTCTTACATATATTTTGGAACCACTGGTTATTTAAATTCAGGACAAAATTACTCTTTTTCCTTAACAAAAACATACTTGCATACTTTGCATACAAAGATGTTCCCCTTTGCCATTATCACTTTTAGTAGTTTCATTCATACATACTGATTATAATCTTTAACTATTAGTAACTTCTATTTTACAGAGAAGACTAGGAAGTAGATCATTTCGAACTGTCATATGCCAGCATTTTGTAGCAGACTGGTAAAGCTGATGAGTATCTATCTCACGAAATTTTATAGTTATATACTTTTTTATAGTACAATTTTTCAGTGTGGATAAATGAACACATTTATTAACAGATCCAAATAGAGCTTCTCTGTACTATAAAAAATAAGAAGGAAAAAGTATATAAATTTAAAATTAGGCTTAATAATTAATGTTTTAGTATTTTATCTTACTTAGAAATCATCTAGGTATTTAATGAATATCTATTAGTTAATTTAGCATAAGTCCAAGGTTTTAAATTACGAAAAGGATCTTGGAAACTGTCTTTAAGCTGACGTATTATAAAACATAATTTCTGTTGAAATAAAGTTTATCAAAATAATGACTCAGTTTGGTTAAAAGCAAATTTATATTGTTATAATCTTAAATATCTAGTAGATATAATACTAGCTTATTCGACTAGTACACCTGTTTAGGTTTAGGAAAAATATACACAAGTAGAATAAAAATATATGCTTCTATTATATGTAATGTTGATAACTCACAAGACATAGCTGTTTTTTATTAAACTAACAATATTAAATTAGTGTTGTTTGCCAAAAATTTACCTAAATTTTTTGAGCTTGAATTTTTAAAATATTCAGGTTAGTTTCTATAAGTATACTTATTCTTTTTTACATTAAAGTATTAGAAATTGTTTCTTTATGAGAGTTTTAGGAATATTTAATTTATATGTGTTTATCTCTAAGTCAATGGGAATAGAGGATAAGGGATTTTGTAAGTTAATTTGGTAACACTAGCCAAAGGTAAGAAAATATTACACATATATAACGTACATATATACATAAACATACTGACAGACATCAATATAGATCTTACGGCTTTCGTTGTAAATTTTCAGGCATGAGTCAGGTAAAACACAGAAATACAAAACTCACTGGTTTATATGAGTTGGCTCTTGTCTTTGCCCCACGTTATATTTTTATCAGAATTGTGTTTCTGGCAGATGGGACAAGTTGAGGTTACCTGCTCAACATGAAGGCTAAAGGTTCCTACTGATATTTGTAGAGGAGGCTTTTAAGATTTTTTTTTTTTTGCCCTGAAATAATGTGATCTTTTGGAGACTGTAGACTAAATTTTGGGTGAGAGGCCAAGGAGCAACCAGACAGCCGTCATGGTGTCTCCAAAGCTTATCTACCTTGATAAAATAGCCAAAGTGTTTCCAATTACGTTTTTTAGCCTCATATGGTTGTTTTCCAGGTTCCTGAAATCCTGGACAGCCCCCAGTGGGAGCAGGAGCCTAAAGGACCACGTATTGGTCCTAGACACATCCAGGAAGGGACGTCCTGCAGGACAGATAATTTGGGATACTGGGAAGCAATAGTAGGTTCCTTGAAGAGTTGACAGGAAGAAGGGAATGAAGAAGTGACGAGTTAGTATAGACAGTTCTTTCAAGAAGTTTGGCTGTTGGAGGGGGAAGAGAAGCGGGGGCGGGGGATGGAGACGGTGGCTGAAGTTGAGAAAGGCCTTCTGGTTTGTTTTAATTTAAGTGATGAGCCCTCGCTTCTGCTGCTACCCCACGTCCATCCCCAGAGTTAACGACGCTTAGTGTAGGGGTAACTACGTGATCAGATTGAGTCGCGGGGAAAGGCTCGAAGTTCCATACTGACTGCTATTTATGAACTGCAAGCAGACCTTCACTCCAGCCTTTTCATCTGTAGAAAAGGGATGAAAATGCTACTGCGTCGTAATAATAACTTTGAATACTTAGCAATAAAAAAAACGAAGTGCGAAAGCAAAGTGGCCACGATACGCATGCACGCGCGTGCGCGTGCGTGCGCCGGGATCCTGCGCGAATCTGCGAGCGTGTGGCCCGTGTGTGTGCGCCTGCGTGCGCCGCCATTTCCTGCAGCCGCGAGCTCAGAGGACGGTGCCCGCCGGGAAATGCGACCGGCAATAAGGAAAATGGCCGCCCTGGGCGAGATCAGCCTCGGCAGGGATTATTCTGCAGCAGTGCCCACGCCAGCTGCTAGATGGCGCGCGAGGATCACAAATGGGGCGGGCCACACATCTCGCCTGCCCAGGAGCCTTTGGGTTTTCGTGATCCTTCTCCTCCGTTGTGGTGTCACCGGCCCGTCTGAGAATCTAGCGAGCCTGACGGTCCTGTTAACCTTCCATCGCCCGCACCCGGTCCGCCAGGGCAGCTTGGGGGAAAGGCCCCTTCCCAGAGAGCTGGGTCCCTGCAGGGCCTGGCTGCGTGCACGGGTCTTCTGAGCCCCGCTGCCTGGGGAGAAGACAGGATGACTTGGGGATTTTTAGGCAGGACGGAGTGACTGGGACGAGGAAGGCGACTGCCTTTGTTAGTGGGAAGGGAGCAGCGGTGCTGGAGCCCTCCCGAGGAGAAGACAGACTCTCCCCAAGGTGGGGGTCATGCCGGGCTCCTCTATGCCCCACCCTCCAGAAGAGGAGCCCGCTATCGCCACGGGAGGTGACATCAGTGTACATTGGGTGAGCAAGGACTGGTCCCACAGCACTCACTCCATAAGGGTGCTCATTCTTCCTCAGCGCCTTGGCTGGTTCTGAGGAGAAGAATGTGGCTGCCAAGGTGGGAGAGGCCTGGCAGGAGAGGCCCGGAACCCCGAGAGGTGACGAGGGAGACCCAGCTGCACCCACCCAGCAACCTGCAGACCCCAGCACCTCAAAACGGCAGAGCAGCCCCAGACCTGAGCCATTCATGGACCTGGACAGCCAGGGCAGCAGGTAAGGGCTATGCTGTGCTGGGCTCCTGTCTGCCCAAGCCAGAATTTTGTCAGGGGCCACGATCCAGAACAAACCCTAACACACTGGGCATGCCTGTTACCCTCTGCAGTTGTGACTGGCTAGGAGCCAGTGGGAAGCTGACCAGCATGGAGTATCCCAGGGTTAGGTCTCCATGGGCTTCAATTTGGAGCCACAGCATCAAATCTGTTAGACCAAGCCTGGCACAGAGAAGGTGCACAGAGAACCATGTTGTCTGGAAGCCATTTGGAGCGTGAAGACCTGGGTCAGGAGAGGGATAGGATGTTTTTGCCATTCATGGAGTTGGAAAGTCCCTGAGGAACATGTGCCCTGGTGTAGATGGGACTCCCTGCCAGAAATTAAAGATGTGGGATGAATTCTTCCACTGCCACCACCACTAGGATGGTTTTGCATGGCAGTGTTTAGGTTCTCCTTTTGCTCCCCAGAGGTCTTCTCCCAAAGCAACCATGAGTTTGGGAATAACCAAGAGCCACAGGCCACAGCGTTAGAGATGTTACCTAAGTGTCTCCTGTGATCAGTTGTAGGTAGCAGTCATATACACCCTGAACAAGATGGCCAGGGCCCGTCCATCCATCCACCCACCCTCAGGGAGCACGTAGTGTACCAATGAATGAACATGACATCGGTAACAGAATAGTGATGACCATTAGCATTTGCTGCATGCCAAGAATGTGCAAGCACTGTTTTTGTGCTTTATGCATGCCCTCTCACTTAATTCTCACACCAACCCTGTGGAGGAGGTACTATTATTGTGTCCAATCTACAGATGAGAAACTGAGGAAGAGGGAGGTTAAGTAGCTTGCCAATAGTCATCCAGACAGGCAGTGGCCCAATTGGTTAGAACCCAGACAGTCAGAGCCCAGAGCCTGTACTGCTAATCACTGTGCTATATCTGCTGCCTCTCCATTTGTGATAGGCCAAGAAAAGAAGGAAACCGGGTGTCCTTGTGGAGAGGGGCCAGGGCAGGGGTGGTTGTAGCTAGGATGGTCAGGGAAAGCTTTTCTGCTGAGGAGGGTGTGGCTCAGTTGAGACCTGATGCACAAGGAGGAGCCAGCCTGGTAAAGAACCTGGGAAGACACAATTCGGGCAGAGGGAGCAGTATGTATGGAGGCCATGAAGGGAGAGTGAGTCTGGGAGAAGGGACTGAAAGAAGGGTCCTGTGGTTGGAGAGTAGGAGGTGAGGAGGGGATAGGAGACCAGGTGGGTGGGGCCAGGGCTGGATCCTGTAGGCTAGGGGGAGGAGGCTACACAAGGGTGGTGAAACGTTATCCAGTGAGGGATAGGGAGCTCTCCCGCTAGAGGTCTCCCATTGCTCACATTGCAGTCCTGGAGGAATCCCCATGGGATTTTTTTTACCTTTTCCTCTCACCTCTGCTGTCCCCTCAACTATTGTGTTGGGTGTGGATCAGAGGATGCCAGGCACTTGCTAGTTGTTCAATCAGAAGAAGATGCTATTTCCTTCCTCTTGTAATCAGTCCTCACTCTCTGGCTCTGTATTTTATCCCCCATCTGTCTTTCCAGGTTCCCATGGGCCTCCCCTCCTAGCCAATCCACCTTCTCCAGTCTTCATCATGCATTCCTGTGTCATAGGGTGACGTAGGAATAGGCACAGGGTGACTGGGTGCATTGAGGTGGGGTACCTCACCCAACCTGAGTAGGTACTCCAGAAGGGCTTCCTGGAGGAGAAGGTGGTGTTTTGTGCAAAGGTACAAGAGAGGTCAGTCAGTATGGCTAGAGCTTCAGGTACACATGGCATAGTTTGAGAAGATGAGCCTGGGGAGCTAGGCAGGTGCTCAATCATGATTGTTCTCCCCCTCCCCACTCTTAGACTAGTTCAGGTCCTGGGCACGGAATTCTCTTGCAGGGGTGTGATACCCGAGAGCCTAGGCCAGGTGGAGACAGCCACATCCAGAGCATGATCTGAGCAGCAGCACATTGGAATGTGCACCCATAGAGCTGGCCCCGACACTGCAGGGGAGTGGGCAGACGTGAGGTAGATGGCACAAATGGGGAGGGATCACTGGTGGTGCCCAACAGAATGCCCTGAACTGCAGTGGGCAGCTACAGCAGCTTTTACTATGGGACTGGTGGCCTGGCAGCAGGCAAAGTGAGAGCAAGTAAGGGCCTGGCCAGAAAAAGGCCCTGTGAACTGCCTAGGAGGTCAGATTCCAGGCCAAGGGTTATGTGTTGCAGCTGAGAGGTGGAGATTCAGAAAAATCATTATACCTGTCAGTTTCCTGCCTCTATTGGTGGAAGATGCCTTCCAGAATGAGATGCACCAAGTCTCTTCCTTGGTGATTCCTAAATTTATTTGTGCCTCTCTCCTTTGGCCTTGTATTCTCCAGAGAGTTCCCTGGAGGGTGGAGGGGGTGTTGATCCTAGGAAGGGGCTGTCCCATCCAATGAGGAAGTTAGCTGGGCTGTGTCTGTTAAGTTCCCTGTAGTCCCATGGCTCTGCTCTAACCAAGTGAGTCATAGTCCAAGGCCTTTGGCTGCAGTGGGAAGTTCTGGGTGGATACTGGAAGGGTTGGGTCTTGCCACTGACTCACAGTGTGACCTGGGTCACTCAGCCTAGGTTTTCTCATCTGTAAAGTGAGTAGTTCCACCCATGGGTCTCAGGAGCCTTGAAGAGTTCAGTGATTTGCAAGGGTTGTTTCAAATTCATCGGCATTCTTTTCAATGCCTTGAGGTGGCGGTCTCGGGATTAGGCCCCCAAAACCCTGTCTAAACTTGGAAGGTGTCAGCTGTCAGTGGTGACCCACTCACCCCTCCCTCCACTTCTTTCAGGGTGAGAAACCCCTCAAGCTGTGCGGTCACTGTCACCATCACTGCTGCTGCTGAGCAGCCTCATGTTTACATCCCAGCCTCCCCAAGTGAACCAGACTCCAGCTCATCGAGGTAAGAAGGGACTATCTGGTAGATGTTTGCTGGGCTCTTTCCTCCCTGCACCTAAAGGCTTTTGTCCCATGTCACTTGCCTGACATTACTATAGTGCCTCCCCCACCTCCCAGCAGCTCATTGGTCAAGGGGCTACACAGTGCAATCCAAGTCACCTCAATATCACCTCCTGTTTGTGGGCCTGGACAGAATCCCATCATATCCCTTTCTCCCTATCCCAATGAGAAGCTGAGGTGGCACTTCCTAGGGCTCTGCCATCCATAGGACCTAGTTGATATCTCTTGGGGAACATGCCTGAGAAGGCCAAAGAAAGCCCACTGAGGCCAGAGCCTGTGTCTGTCTCTCTCGTTACCTGTTGTGAGGAGAGGTGCACACCTGCTCTCTCATCCGCACTCCTGGCCCCACCCGCAATCTTAGAGTGCAGAAAGGGAGCCATTGCAGGGAGGCTGAGTGAGGGGCCGGTGTGTGGTGGGGGGATCAGAGGGTCCTTTGTGACATCAAGCCAGCAGGCTGGAGTACACAGTATGAAAATGGGGTGAAATTTGCGTCTGTGGTCAGCCCAGCATGAGGCAGACCTTGTTTTCAATGTTGCCAGTGGCCTGTCCAGGGTGAGTTGATTTCCAGGCCTCTGGAACTCCAGGGGTGAGAAGGGAGAGGTTAGATTGCTGGTGTAGATTCTCACAGAGTGGCAAAGACTGATACTGTAGGATTGAGGCTTAGAGGCTTTCCTGGTCATGGGTGAAAGGGAAAGAAAACACAGTCAGAGAGGAGAATGGAAAGTCCGCTGAACTAAAGTCTGGGGCGGGGGTGGGGTGTGCCTCCCGCAGTGTTGAGATCTGCATGGAGGAGGACAGCATATTGCCACTGGCTGCAGGGAGCCTCTTTCTAGGACTCTCACATCCACACACGTCAAGCTGAACTAACTGATGGGCTTTGGTTTCAGCCCGAGTCCGCAGAGGGCTCAGCTGTCCAGCAGCTCGCCTTTGCTGCTTTCTTTGCCTGGCAGTGGCTGGAGCCCACCAGCGCCTGTACCCCCAGACTTACCAGGAGCTCCTTCACTTCCTTCAAACCAGGTGGGGGTCCTCCTAGCCATGGACCCCTCCTTTGGGCCAGACCCAGTCCCCTGGAATCTTCCAGTATACCTCTTTATGTTCTGCTCTGATCCTACAGCAAAGGGATTCTCTTCGTGAAGGAGTACATGAATGCTAGTGAGGTATCTTCGGCGAAGCCAGTGTCCCCACGCAGGTAAGAGCAAGTCCCCAGTCCTGCCAGGCCCTGTGTATCCTCATTCCTGCACCCCCAGTACTTCATCCAGGGCTTGGCCCAGAGTAACTTCTGTGTCATCATCTATCGAATGGATGAATGATTTGATTGCCCGCCGGGGTGAGTTCCACATTTCCAGCTGTTCTGCCTAACTCGGTGCCTTTGCATTCCCCCTTTACTGTTACTTCATCCCGCACCCTACTTCATCCCTTTCTGCCTGTCTTTGTTTCTTAGTAGACTACACGCTTTCTTTTATGAAATCCTGAGAGCATCACTCTTCACAGGGCTTGTGGGGCCCTTAGTTAATTCCATCCTGTTCCAGAACACAGGGCTTCCCTCTTCAGCTCTCACTCTCTTTCCAGCATGCCATGTTGCCTCATTTGAATACATTTGAGATAAGCATAACTTTTCACTCATCAGCTCTTCATCTGCTTGCTTCCTGATGCCATATGGAAGGGTACTTGCATGGCACCTCAGTTAGAAACTAACCCACACTGAGACAGCAGCCCCCGGGAATGTTTTGTATGCCATAGCATTCCTACTGCTAGGGTGAGGATGCTGTGGAATGATGAGCATGGGTGTAGGGGTCAAGTTCAAGCACCAGCTTGGCCCCCATTGACTGGATCATTTTGGACAAGATGCTCAACCTTTCTGAGCCTCAGTTTTTTCGTCTATAATTCCTTAGGGTGGTTTTTCTCAACAGCTTTATTGAGATATAATTCACATATCATAAAACTCACTCTTTAAAGTGTCCAATCCAGGGGTTTTTAGTAAATTCACGGTGTTGTGCAGCCATCACCACTATCCAATTACAGAACATTTTCATCACCCTGAAAGGAAACCCCTTACCAATGAGCAGCCCCCCATACCACTAGCCACAGCCCCTGGCCACTGACCTATTTTCTGTCCCTATAGCTTTGTTCAGGGAAGTTTTGAAATTAGAAATAATGTATGTAGAACTTCCAGCACCCCCAAGGGAGCTGTCTTTGCCGTTTAGCATTTGCCTCTGTGAGTGTCACTTGACTGAACTCTGTCCATCTCCTGGTTTTTCTTCTCCCAGTCTCACGACTCTATTAAATTTAATTATTACACTCTGACAGTTAGATTTACATTAAAATTGAATTTAATATTCAGTCAAAATATTACCTTTTATGGGGCTGGCCCTGTGGTGTAGTGGTTGAGTTCACGCACTCCACTTCAGCAGCCCACGGTTCGCAGGTTCAGATCCCGGACATGGACCTAGCACTGTGCATCAGGCCACACTGTGGCAGCATCCCACATAAAACAGGGGAAGGTTGGCACGGATGTTAGCTCAGTGACAATCTTCCTCAAGCAAAAAGAGGAAGATTGACGACAGATGCTACCTCAGAGCCACTCTTCCTCACGCACACACAAAAATATAGTACATCTTATGAAAAAACGGTAGACTTTCTTTATTGGATAATGAGACTTGTGTAGTCTAGTGTGTTTTCCCCTTTTGCTTTATCTTCCAGACGACTTAGAGATAAGCTTAATCCTCCGAAGCAATCAGAACCTGGGCTGAAATTCTAGCTCACCCCTTACTCCGAGCATGACCTTAGGCAGGTCACTTAGCCTCTGAGCAGCACTTTTCTTAACTACCTCCTGAGGTCACCACCACATGGCTCCAGTGAGAACGGTAGCTTCACTAAAGTGTATCCCAGGGCTTGTAAGCTGATCACCCTTCTCTGGCAATAGTTTTTTTTTAAAAAAAAGAATTAGTTTTCGTTATAAAAAATCATATTATGAAAAATGAAGATACAAAAAGGAGATAGCCTCATCCCTAACCCCACCGTGTAACCCAAGCCCAGGTATTACATTGGAATGTTTCCTTCCCTTTTTGGTTCCTGTCCCTGGTACCTAATTTCTGCTGTGAGTGGGTTCCTGGTGACGGTCACAGTATAACCTAGACACCTATGTGGGGAGAAAAGCCCTGCTCCTTTCCCACTGGTCAGGGAAACTGGGAGTCTTCCGGGCATACACAGCCTTGAGAATCCCAGCCCCCCGCCCCCCCGTCGTTTTCCTCACCGTGGCAGATCTTTGCCCCCCATGCAAGGGCTCTTCTCCAAGAGAATTATGCCTCCTTGGCAGCAAGTTCAAAGCTTCCCCTGCCATTTAGCATAACAGATGACAGCTGGCCATGCAGAGTCATATCTCAGCTTGTGGCCACAGGGTTAATCAGAAAAGCGTTCCCCACTCATGACTAGTAGTGATCTGGCTCCCGTCTTCTGCCCTCTTCTCCCCCCTCACACTCTCTGAAGCATCAGGAGCGTTGAGGACTCATTCAACATGGAGAAGAAATCCCCATGTGACAGCACCCCTTACTCTGAGAGGTGAGTCTGCTGTCTTAGCTGGGAGCTCTGACCCACTTGCAGATCTGTCACATCACTGCGTAGGGTGGTGCTTCCCTTATTGGGATGGCAACTAAAGCCTTTAAACCGAGCTAAGATCAGAAGACAAACACATAGGCCTCTGAGAAGGGAGATGGTGGGGTCCGAAAGCCCAGGGGCTCGTGTCAGCAGGAGAGGCCCCTGGGATTAGAACCAAATTGATGACTTAATGAACCTGCAAATCTGACCAGATGGAGAAAAGCTACAAAAGAGAGTGGTGTGTGGGAAATGAAGAAAAGTGGACTGCTGTCATCAAGAAGCCAGAAAAGAGCCAAGAAGAGCCATTCATTTGGAATAAAGGAACCTGCAGAGAATACCTCATTCAGCAGTTTCAAAAACTGACACTAAATGACAGCAGTCATAAGATAGTCTTAATGATAAAGAAGCCCTATTTTTAAATTCTTGGAATAGGGTAGAAAGGAGTCTTAGAGATGTAGTTCACTCAGGTCACAGTGAAGGAAGCAGGTCTGGAAGGGGTAAATAACATGCCTTAAGTCACACAGGGAGTCAATGGCAGAGCCAGGACTAAACCCCTAGTCAGGGATGTTTCTACTGACTATGGACTAGAACTGGTTTTGGTAAAACATGCAGGAGGAGCAGGGCTGTGATGAGGGCAGGAGTCTTTAGCAACACTGTCGAGAGACAGCCCTGGGCCAACAGCAGGACAGAAGGACCAAACAGACATCCCTGGTAATTCTGGGCCATTGAAGGGATCCAGAGTGGCTCCAGGTTGGTAACACCACCCTTGGCTCCTATTCAGAAGGAGACCCAAATCTCTGGAAGAAAGCACCCCCACTTTAGACCTGAAGAGTCAGGGCAGGCAGTTCTGTCTGAGGAGGAAAACCAGGGGTGACTCAGGAACAAAGGCAGGAATCCTGGAACTGGGGAGATACTCAAGCTAGAAGTTGGTATCTAGAACTTCAGCCTGAGATCCCAGCAGGCTCTACAGGCAGACTGACTTTGTGATAGTTCCTGGAGTACCACAGGGGCAGGGTGTGTCTGAGAATGTAGGGTCCAAAAGGTACAGCTCATTGGTCCCAGGTGTGAAGAGAAAGGCCACCGAGGCAGGGTGCCAGGTAGGGCATACAAGGACTTGTCTCCTGTAGGAGAAGACATGGGTCTTCCTGTTCTGGAGGGGAGCTGGACCCCCTAAGATGATATGCCAGGCAAGGTGGCAGGGAGAGGCAAGCTGCCTGGAATAAGAATCACATCAGGGTCTCCTCACACATGGTAGTGAGGATGGTGAAGATACATGGCCGGTTCCTGGAAATAATGCAAGAGTCTACAGTGTGCTGAGGCCTGGGTAGGCCCAGGGCCATGTGGCCAATTGCATACCACAGGAAAAGATGGCAGGCTGGGAATCCTGGCAGGAAACCTAGGCCTGGCCATGTCGAACCAGAGGACCTGGCTGCGTCACATCAGTAGTCTGCGTGCCAACCTGACTGCTGAGTTCTTGCTTTTCATCTCACAGAACAACTGGAGGGATCTGTACTTACTGCAGCCGGGAGATCCGAGATTGCCCAAAGATTACCCTAGAACATCTTGGCATCTGCTGCCATGACTATTGCTTTAAGGTAAGGAAGAGGGGTGGTGCAGCTGAGAACACTGTCCAGAGATAGGGAGTCTTATGGGTTCGGAGAGTATGGAAAAGGCTCGATCTCTGTATGATTATGCTCCATCTCAGAGGTTTTGCAGAGCTTGGAGTTGAATGAGCTCCCAACTCCAAGGAAGTGAATAAGTGCTGGCAGTTCTGTGTGTTTAGTGCTGTGGGGGAGGCAGAAGTGGTCTTCTAGGGAAAGACTAATTCCCAGCAGTGGGCCAAGAAGTGTGAAGGCCCTAGGGCAGGAGCGTGGAGTATTGTAGCTCGCATGGCTGGAATGGCATGAGTAAGAGGTGAGCAGTAGGAGCTGAGGTCACAAAGATGGCTGGGGGCTGGATCATGTAGGCCTCGGAGGACACAGAAAGACTTTGAATTTTTTTCTAAATACAATTGGAACCTACTACAGGGTTTGGGTGGGGTAGTGACAAGGTCTGATTCATGCTTTTTAAAGGATCCCTCTGGCTGCTAGGTGAAGGAAAGACTAGAGGGGCAAGAATGGAAAAAGAGAGACCAGAGGAGACTGTTGGAGTAGATCAAACTAGAGCAAACAGTCACTTGATTAGGGAGTTGGCAGTGGAGCTGACAAGATGGCCGCTGGATTGGGGTTACTGTTTGAAAGTAGAGCCAGCAGGTTACAGGGTGTGAGAGAGTGAAAGGAGTCAAAGGAAATTCAAGCTTGGGGCCCAGGCCATTAGCTGAAAGTGTGGTGGTGCCGTTTACTGCAATGGGCAGGACTTAAGGGGAGCAGGTATTCACGAGGGAAGGTGGAGCCCGGCGAAACTGAATATGCCTCAGGGAGAGCTATGTGGGAGGTCACCTGGTCATTTGGATGTATAAATTTGCCTTCCAGGGAAAGGCCAGGGCTGGGAGTTCACGGGGCATACATTTTCCCTGAGCCATCCCTGAGCTGTCGAACCTTCCTGGGTGGGTGGTAGGAGGGCTGAGGGCTGAGCCCTGTGGCTTTCTGGCATTTAGAGATGGGGTAGAGGAGAGGGTTTATAGAGGAGGCTGAGAAGTAATGGAGAATATGGTACCCCCAGTGACGCAGTTTCTCAGAAGACTGCAGTGGTCACCCTGTCGTGGTTGCTGAGCGATCAAACAGGATGAAACCTGACAGTTGACCACTGAATTTTGCAGCGTGGTGATCATCGATGACCTCAGTAGGAGCAGTTTTGGTGGCGTAATGGGGACCGAAGCCTGACTGGAGTGAGCTCATGGGAGAATAGGACATGTAGAAATGGAGAGAGGGAGTCTGAAAGACTCTCTTGAGGGGTTGGCTTTGTAGGGGAGCAGTGCAAGCAGCCAGTGGCGCAGAGGTGCTGAGCATGGGTTTGTGCTGACGGGAGTGATGCAACAGAGAGCAAATACTGATGATGCAGGAGAGAGACAGGTTGGTAGGAGAGAGAGATAGGTACCAGTTCACATGTGGGTCACATACAAAGAGGTTCCCAGATTGGGTGGAGGAAGAATAAGGAATTTCTTCAGCCGTTGCTTCTGTGTTCTCAGCCAATAAAAATAGGGTCATCTGTGAGTGAGGGGTAAGGAAGGAGTGTTGGATGTTTAAGGAGAAAGGGGAGGGTGTCTCAGAGGGGAGGGCAGATGGACGAGAGGGAAGTGGGGGCTGTGCAGAGCCCGCTTGATGTGAGGGCTCATGGATTGCTACCGAGACCGGTCAGCGTGGTCCTGTGTTGTTCCCCGCCATGCTCTGGCAGGAGTGAAGCCGGGGGAGTTGCATTTACCGGGGTGGAGATTTTGCCCGGTGACTTGGCAAGATTGAGACTGTGCGCAAGGGAACAATAACAGTGAGGTGGTGGGCTGGTCCACATGTTGAAGGTCCCAGTGGTGACAGGGACCTGTACAAGTGAGCTGGAGGACGTGGGAGTCAAGGAGTGGGACATCTGACTTGCAGATTTAGGATGCAGTGCACTTATTGGTAGTGACAAGGGCAGCAGTTCTCACACTTGAGCACGTGTCAGCGTCCCCTGGAAGGCTTGTTAAGACATAGAGCACTGGGCCCCAGTCCAGTTCCTGACTCAGTAGGGCTGAGTGGGACCTGAGAACTGGCCTCTCTAACAAGTTCCTAGGTGATGCTGAGGCTGCTGGTCCAGGGACCCCACGTAGAGTCTAGCCAGAGCAGTGGCTGAGGCAGAGAAGGGGCCCAGAACATTGAAGGAAAGGAGTGGAAGGCCAGTAGTGGGGAGCTCCTCCACCTGTGTGGATCCAGGATGAACTCACAATAGGACAGGAGTAGTGGTGGAAGGAGAGAGAATGATCTGGATATAAAAATCATTGACAGAGAAGCATGGCCTGGAGAGCAGCAGATGTTTACAATAAGAAGGTGGCAGGAGGAATAATTTGAGGGCAAATGGTCTTCCGTGAACTCCAAGTAGGATTATATTTTTCAACCTAAAGATCATGACATGTGGTTTGGCAAAGAACATTTTGTTTTCCTGATTCCTGGACTTACATGAAAAGTCCTAAAAGATTTTGTCAACTTTTGGTTATATACTTAATTACAGGGAAGCCTGTTAAACACAGAGCAAAATGACGGGAGTGTGAGACCTAAGGAACTCTTGACACTAAATGTTGGGGGGAGGGTGCAGTCAGAGTGGGCCTGAGTCCCCAGGCAGGCTTTGTGAGGGAGGTGGGCCTAGAGTCGGGAGTGAAGGGGCACACAGGTATTTTCCAGGTGGCTGAACATGGGCAAAGGCCACTGCACGTGGCCGTGGGGCAGCACACCGTGATGCATGCAGAGGAGGAGTAGGAAAGCAGGAGGCCAGGGCGCGGGAGGAAGAGGCATGGAGGGGCAGAGATCTTAAACTCGCCTGATCGGGCCTCACATAAGGGCTGAGGAAGTTGGAGTTGTGGCAAAATAGTGAGAGCTTGATATTCTTGGTGGATTCTTGGAAGATGGGCCAGGAGCACAGAAGTGGAGAGGGTGTCATTTCTCTAGGATCGCAGAGCCGCTCAGAACCCAGGGTCACAATCCGGCTCCAACATCAGAGCCCACGTGATCCCAGCCACACTCTGCTGCCTCCCAGGAAATGTCATCTCCTTACTCAATTTCATTTGTAGAAACCAGTTCGTCACTACCCTTAATTGTAGGTTTTTCTTATCTTTATTAAGTTGACATAACATTTTAAAAGATTAGTTTGTATGGTTACATTTAGGAAAAAAGAGAGGACACCCATGGCTACAGCATCATAGCAACTCTTCAGGGGTCCTGTTCTCCACAGTGTGAGGCATGTTGCAAGCCCAGATTGTTGATTTTTTTCTGTGTTCCTAAAAGGGACCCCCTAAATGGGTCTGCACCGTCAGTTGGCTAAGTTGAGGTTCAAGTCCTGGTCCACAGTGACTAAAATGATAGAAACATGATACATGAACCAGAGGACTAATTAATTTACAGTGAGAGAGAAAACTGCCAGGAGAAAGGAACTGAAAAGTAGAAAGAGCCAGCTAGAAGCTTGCCGTTGGAGAGGGGCTTGGTGAGAAGGAGCAGAGGGAGTTGAGGACCTTAGCAGCTGTTCTCCACTGCTCTCAGCACCCTTTGCAAGCTGGAAGCCAGAAGGCTCAGCCTGGGGCAGGCCTAGAGATGGCTGGAGACCCAGAGCCATGGGGACTCGGGCTCCTCTTATTTGAGACTGTCGGCAGGCCACCCTGCCCTGACCCCAGGACCAGGAGGGTCCACTGCACATGGCTGGCTCTTGTCATCCTTTAGGTGTTCACTGGAGAGGCAGGTTTGAGAGTCTTGAGGTCAGAGGGTCCGGACTGCTGAAATAGCCTTTTATTTTCATTTCCTTGGGCCTTTGTATCACCTTCCTTTGGACCTTAAATATCACAACTAATGTCCCCCAGCCCTCCTACATCAGCAGTGACCTTGCCATTTACTGAGCAGTTACTTTATGTCTGGCCAGGGCTGAGTGCTCTAGGTGGGCTGCCTCACTACATGCTCCCACGACCTGCCAGCGTGCCCATTCTATAGCCAAGGAAAGGGAGGTGTGGAGCGCCTCAGTAACTTGCCCAACCCCACCCAGCTAATAAGTAGTGTGGCTCTAGGGCTCAAACGCGGGCCCAATTCTGAAACCTGGGCTCCTAACCACTATGTGATTGTGCTGCCTGCTAGTTTTTGTGATTTTTTTCTTTTTTCAGTTTGAATTTTGTCTCTCTTTTCTGCTATTTTTTTATTGTTTGCTTCGAAGTCTAGGATGTGCCACCAGCTCTGTACCTGCCTGCCTATCTTGGTCAGGCGCCCCTTCCCTACGCCACTTGTTGATGTTGCTTTACCTGTGTGTTGACCTCCAGCTTGCTTTCTCTTTCAGTGTGGGATTTGCGGTAAACCAATGGGTGAGCTCCTGGATCAGATCTTCATTCACCGTGACACCATCCACTGTGAGAAATGCTATGAGAAGCTCTTCTAGGTGGGTGCTGGCACCCCAAGGGCCAAGCAGCCAGGAGACTTATTCGGGGAAAGAAATGTGCCCTGGTCTATCCCTGAGTCTTGACCAGGACACTGCTCTCTCTCTTAGCCTGTATGTTCAGGAGGCCCCAAGTCCTCATGTCCCTGTTGCCTTATGATACTTTGAAGTCTCAGGTGGCACAGATAATGACCTTCCCCGGGGACACTTCTAAGTTGCAGGGGTCATAGTCTCTTCCTGTCAAGAAGTGCTGTCTGTGCAGCACCTCAGCTGAGCCCTCTGGCTGCCCTGAGGTGCCGGCCAGGCCTGTGCTGTTAACCTCATTTGGGGACAAGGAAATAAAGACCTAGAAATGAAAAGGGTCTGGGGAACCCCCCAGCTAGTGGATGGCAGACTCAGGACCTCAGCCTCGCACTTCAGATTCACATCCAGGGATCTCTGCTACAGTCCCCTGGACCACCTCCACCATTGCTCATATAGTGTCAAATCAGGACTTGACAGCCAGAGTGTTCAGTGAAACGAGATACAGCTTGGGGCCAGCAGCAGGTAAAGGCGAGAATAAGCTGGCATGCGTGGGTGGGGATGGTGCTGTCCTGGGGCTGGCCCGACCAGGAAGGGCTGCTTGGGCAGTCTCTGGGCCACATTGCCATCACTGCCTGAGGAGAGGTTTGCCTGTTAAAAGCCCAGTGTCCCAACTGCGTGGGGCCTAGTGCCAACAGGACACTGCCGTTCCAGATCCTGGCAGTCCCTCCTCCTTAGCACCTCCTCAGCTAGAAGCACAGATCAGAATACCTCCCTTGAAGGCAATGGGAGTGGGTGGCCACCAGGCTCTCCACCGGCTACAAGCATGTTCTGCCTTCTCTCCAGAAGATGCATTGACTTGGACTGTTGCTCCTGATGCCTGGAGCAGTCAGCCACGCCAAGAGCCTCTGACTGGTCATCGGGTTGGATGTGTATTTCCAATCTCATGGCTACTTCTATTTTCTTTTCGCTCCCTCAGGCTGAGAAGAAGCTGATGACTCCTGGACAAATTTGGCTGTCCGCAGTTGCCCCGAGTTCCCTCACTTCCTCCCTCCCCATTTGATTTCTTCATGCTTTTGCCTTTCTCAAGTTGAACCTTCTTACATCCAGTAGTGTATCTTAATGATGCTATGATCACTACTTGTGTGTGTAACTTTTTATAGCTTAGAAATCACATCACATCCAATGATCTCATTTCAGGCTCAAGCAGAGAGGATTGAACAAGGATTCCATCTTGGCCTAAGACAGGTCAGCCTCCTTGTATGATAGGCATGGACAAGAGCATGGGGTTCATTATGTCCTGACTCTTGGGACAGAGAGCACATCCCATTCTGGTTCACCACTGTGAGTGTACCTTTGGGACTTGAGAGCAGAAGGAGACCCCCTGAAGCTTCTGAGGGGCCAGGTTGAAGACTGTTGACCATCCCTGGTGGGTAAATTGCAGACACTGAGTGCTAGGGATTGGCATAGGCTAATGTTTGGCTTGCCCGTTTGCCGTATATATTTTTTAAACTTTTCATACACTTTTAAAAGTAGGTAGTTACTTTTGATTGAGTTCTATAGCAGATTTTAGTTTTACCTCTTTCTACTCACCTTTCTCTATAGCTGAGTTTTGTCCCACAGGCATGTGGGGATGTATTAGAAAGTTTACACAATTAGGTTTAAATTCTATAGGATGTGATTCTTGGGGGGCTACTGACCAAAGGGACATCTGTGTCTGAATCTTGATAGGTCATCAATACCTTTGCCCTCAATTCCCAATCCCTAATCTTTATGCAGAAATCCTCTAAAGTAGGTTTTAGGGTATATAGGCTCTAGCAGGATTAAGAAGGGTGAAAAGCAGCCGACATTTCTTGAGGCCTTGCTACATACCAAGCATTATCACAAAGTCATGACATTGATCCCCATACTAATCTTGTGCAGAGGGCATTCTCATCCCCAATTTACAGATGAGGATATTGAGGCTCAGAGAGATGGTCATTGCATTGTGCAGAACCATTGCTGTCTCTCTCCACTAACAGTAACCACAACGGTGAGCATCGATTCAGTGCTAAGTATGTGTCAAACACTGTGTGGAGGTTACCTAATCCTACACCAGGTAAAACTGCCCCCCTCAGGCCTCCTCTGAGGCACAGTCTTACAAAGAGGGGGAGGTGTGAAATCACTTCTCCTGTGGGCATCCTGGGTCCCCCTGTGAAGTACCACAGAGACCAAACTGTCCCCCTTCTCTCTCCTCCCCTTTCCACGAAAACACTTCTGAACTGAGATGGTCTCAGCTGGGAAGAGATTTGACTCACAGACCTTCCCAAGAGGAGCTTGTCAACCCAGGGAAAGCTCTAGTGGGCTAGCCAATCTGAGCACAGGGCCTTCAGTGACCTCGTATATTCCAGTCCAGAGCCTGTCCCAAACTAGCAGCAACTGCTGGGGCCCCAGGTCCTCAGAATCTGGAAACCTGTCACCAGCTGGACAGATGCAGGCCCATCCGTGCAATTAGGTGATTCTCTGCTTGGCTTCACCTGGGCTTCTCTACCTTTGGCACCAGCATCACTGTGTAAGCTCCCCAAGAGGAGGAATAACCTGAGGGTTTTTCTGATGAAAAATGAAGGCCTCTTCTCTTGATTTAATTAGAAAATGTCTCTCCATCTCTCTCCAGTTTCTGAGCCCTGTGCACATTGGCTGGTAGACTGGTTCTTCCTGTCAAATGATCAGAGAGGATCCATTTATTTGCAAAGAGATGCATCAGATTTGCTCTGGACGGGGAAAGTGGTACAATATGACATGTGCTGACACTAAATATGACTGGTCTTCCTCAAGTCTAGCCCTCAGCATGAGCCTTGGCACATGGTAGGCACTGACACGTAGGGGCTGAATGAATGAGTGAAAGGGAAAAAAAGGTCGCTCTTTGGGTGGGAGGTGCCATCCCTGAGTCTTGGTGCTACAGACCCGGCTGATGGAGTTCAGGATGAAAAGGTCCAAGATAGGCTGGCTTCCCTACCTTCAAGATACACTCTGCTTTTAAGGTAGTTTTAGAACCAATATGCAAGATAGTGACAGAAAGCTTGTGAAATCAGTATTGATTTCAATCCAAAACAGCCTCTCTCATGGCTAAAAAGGCACAGAATTCTGCAGACTTAAGGAAGAGGGGTGGTTGCATTACACTTTTGCTTTTTAATTGCCTAGTGTTTTTAATCATACTTGCTTAACCCACATTAATGTACACAATTATAATAAATGTTAAGATATTACACGTGTTAAAGTTTCCTTTTTTAAGTGTAATAATTTGGTATACTTGGCTGTGTGATTTATTTTCTCCTATTACCTGAAGCCATTCTCTCTTCAAAAGCAAATGCTTTAAGAAGTATCAAATCTAAAGAGAAAAGAATAGGAAGGTCGAGAAACTATGCATGCACAGAAGTGTGGAATTCTAGACTTATCAGATCTTAACAAAGAATATTTTATTCTTTTGGGTCCATCCTCTCTTTCATTACTGTTGCAGACAGATGACCACCTAGTCCTTATTGCACACTTGCAGTGACCAGGAGCTCAGTCCCTTACAAGCCCATTCTGTCTGTAGACAGTCCCGTTATCTAATGCCATCTGTAGGATTTCTTTCCCTCTGAATGTCTTCTGAACACTAGGCTCTGCCTGTGAATGGTGCCTGTGATACCACACCCCCCGCCATGCTCTCCACTGCCCAGGGAACTACTTCTGTCTGCACTCTTCATAATGTGATCAGCATAATTTCCTCCTCTGGGTGCCTTCTTCACCTACTCTCTGCTTGGGAGTGTGTGAGTCTCTCTCTGAAGTTTCCTTTGGCTATGAGAGATTGCTACAGGACATTTTTTGTGAGTACTGTTTGCACATTCATATTTTTAACAGCTTTATTGAAATATATTTAATACACAAGGAACTGCACATATTTAGGGCAGACTTTTATTCAGAAGAATTATTATAGGGGGAAGAGACTTGCAATAGGGGGAGGGGTGCTTTTACAATAGCGAGAATGCTGTGACCAGAAGCTCTGCAAGCATCTGAAGAGTTAGGCAAAAAGAGTTTTTCTTTTATAAAGAGGAGTAAGAAAGGCTAGAAAGAATCAAATGTGGGGAAGTAGGGTAAAAAGGTAGCATGATGGCACAGTAGATCGGCAAATATTTCCCCCTGGGGCCAGCCTTTTCCCAGGAGAGGCTGCTGGCCGGCTTCGGCTGTGAGTGGGCCAAAGTTCAGGGGCCTGGAGGAAAGAGAGAAGCAAAACCAAAGTTTGATTAACAAGCATTTTGTTCCAGTTTACCAGTGGGTACAAAATTTAGCTAATTATTTTTGAGGCAAAGAATGGGAATTTGGAGGGTCTGTCTGGCCTTGTCATAGAGAAACAAGAGAGGCACCCTTGAGTCTCATCTAAGTCCTATGGGGAAGCGGGGTTCTTTACAGTAAACCACTTCACAGGACACAAAGTGCGGCTTTCTTTGCTCTTTCCAGGGTCAGAGGGCTCATGTAAAATTCAGCATTGTCAGTTTCTCCTATTGTTCAAGACAAACAACATTCATTCACCACTCAACAGACTAGAGGGGTCATTGATCTAAGTTGGGCAAAGCAGGGTCTAAGAAACAGTCTCCTGAGGACTCTTAGAGGCATTGCTCCTGCAAAATCAGCTGAATCATCTGTTGAGAAGTGATGGCAAAGGGTAGTTATTTTAGTGTCAGGCATCTTAAGACGGGGGTGCCTCTCATATAAAGGCCCGCATGACCTTCCTTACTAACCCAGTTAGTGACTTGTTCCAGAGAAATTTGGCCCCTGCGTGGTGTGCTGGGGTGATAGTCCTCTAAGGTATAGATCAAGTCATTGGCCTTTAACTCTCAGTGCTGCTTCAGATTCTGGCAGGGAAGGCCAGCTTCAAGGCAATCTGGAGTCTCCATGAGGATCTGGGCAGTCAGGTTTTAGGTCCTGGTAATGCCAAATCAGGAAGGAGGGAGAAAAATGAGAAGTGTTAGTTTGGAAGGTTGTAGTCAGCTACTGAAGGAAATTCGATACTGAAATTGACATTGAATATCAATTGTTCAATATTGATCAATTCCTTCAAGATATTGAAGGAATTCAAAACTGAAAATTTGGTAAGGGTTGACAATGTGTGCAAGATCACAGGGTTCATTCCAATTTACAGATAGGTAACAAAACCATGAAGTTGACAAAGAGGTGCAAAATAGCTCAAAGAGAATGAACAGGACCAGAATGTCATAACCCACAATAGCATGCTGTAGTTTTCTAATGAAATGCAAAATTTCTCTCTATGGTCACCTCCTCTTTGATCAAAGATAATCTCAGAGTAAGGTTATTTTTTATCACCAAATACCTGGTCTCATTAGATTTCACCTGATTACTTGCACAGGTGCAGCAAGAATGGTAATTAATTGTACAGGCCTTTTAAAGTTTGCTTTGCTAGAAGTTTTTATAAGGAATTTCAGATTGGACTTTTAAAAGCCTCTCAAGGTTAGGAAGTCAAGCCAAAAACTCACCACTGTATTTCACCCACAGTTCCCATATATTTTGGTGAATTCCTCTCTTCTTGAGGTTCATAAAATATCCTAAGTTTTCTTGGCCTGCCGGGAAGTGACCTTCCTTACTCACTTGTAAGGCTGGGCACTCTGTAAATGAGGTATCAGGCTGGGTTTCCCAAGAAGGTTTTGTAAGAATTGACTTCATAAACTCAACCTAGTTAAAATTGTCAGGTCATGCCTGATTCTCTGAGCATCATTCTCAAATACGACATTGTAGCCAAAGCCTTGGCCATATAACCAGTGTTTCCAATTATGTCCTGTTAACGAGGAGGATAGGTTCTTATTGAACCTAGGCAAATAATTGTATTGCCATGAAAATAAGAATGCCCAAAAAGAATTTCTGAATTCTGGAGGGATTTGGCAGGGAGAAAAAGATAAATGTTTCATTTCTGTTTATAAAAGTAGAGTCAGGAGTGCCCTTCAAGTTGCTAGATGAAATGCTGCCCAGTTCATGAAGTGTTTAATGAAGCCAATTAGATCTTCAAAAAAAATTATAGTCTACTAAATTGTTATGCGTTATGGATAGTTTAAGAGAAATGAGAAAGGAGCTCTTTATATCCAGAAAATAGAACATTAAAGCATCAGCAACATTCCAAACAAAACCCATAAGCATCCTTCATGAGTGCATTCAGTCCTATGTAATTGATTCCTGTTCTGCTCAGTCTTGGGCTAGCAGTCTCATGAACCCATCAGCTTCTTCACTAGAGTTCTGGAAATTCTGGCTCAGTCCAGTGGTAGGATCTCAAAGTTGTTGAAGCAAGGCCATCAAAAGTCTGTGCCTAAGAGCGCCTGGTGTAGTCCTCTCCCTAGGGGTCTGAGACAGTCCCTTTTTCTTTAAGAGAAGCCTTCTGGCCTGTAGCTGATTGCAAGTACTTTCAGGGAAGACTCAGTAAACTATCCGTGCCTGACAAATGATTTTAAATGCCCATAGTTAAAGATTTCATGTGAGTTCCTTACAAAAATAATGCAATTGAGTAGGAAATTTGGTCATTTCTGTGGCATGCAACATTTTAAAAGACAACCAGAATTATGACTGAAAATGCTACACTGTTGTTTAATATCAAGCAAAGCAGCACCAGGACACACCATGGACAGCGAGGGTGGTGGCACATCTCTAGGATCTTCAGAGAATTTCTAAAATATTTCAATTAATAACATTCTGCCCGCACACATTTAACCTAGGGAAGGTTAGGCATCTCTTCTGATTTGACAAAGCCTCCCATGCAACTCGATATATCAAATAAACCTACTCATTTCTAGCACCTCTGTTTTCACAAGGTGAAAGATCCTTTGTGATTTTCAAGGTCTCTCTGGGAAAATTCAAAGATTTGAGATCAAGATTCTATCACTTAGGATTTGAGTTTACGAAGGCAAAATATCAAAGTTTTCAGGAGGTTTGAACACTTTGTTAAATATGATCATGGGTCAGTGAGAAACACTACTTGGCTGTGTATTTAACCAAAGTGACAAAATATTTTAAAAGTTAATATAGGCGGTAATACAATTGTAAAGAACCTTAGTTCTTTCAAAAGTAAGACTTGGTTCTCAAGTAATTAAGGACATGATAAAATCAACATAAAGCAAAGAAAATTATTCTGATAAGATGTAGAATCTTTGTTTTCTAGGCAGATTACTCAAAAAGTAGAGAAAAACCTTTTACTACCTCTTATTAAGAGTAGACCAATAATCTAAGAAAATTTTTCCATTTTAACAGAGAAAAACAAATCCTAGTTTTGCATCAGTGTACTATTTGATATTACACCTCGTTTTTAAAAATCTCATAAACAGATTTAACTTTAGCCAACTTTGACCACAAGAAATAAAATTCCTTTTCTGTGACCCTTTTACAACTTTCCATATCTACTCAGGTTTTGTTCTGTGCTTTCAACTTTCTCATTCTGAACAACCAGTCATTTTAGTTCAGGACAAAATTACTCTTTAACAAAAACACATCCTGCATACCTTGTACATTTAATTTAATATAAATCTAAGGTTTTTTTTTTTTTTTTTTTTTTTTTTTTTTTTTGAGGCAGCTTAGCCCTGAGCTAACATCTGCTGCCAATCCTCCTCTTTTTGGTGAGGAAGACTGGCCCTGAGCTAACATCCGTGCCCATCTTCCTCTACTTTATATGTGGGACGCCTACCACAGCATGGCTTTCCACGTGGTGCCATGTCCGCACCCGGGATCCGAACTGGGGAACCCTGGGCCACTGAAGCGGAACGTGCACACTTAACCGCTGTACGACTGGGCGGCCCCTAAGTCTAAGGTTTTAAGTTACCAAAAGATCTTGGAAACTATCTTTAGGACTGACAAACTATATATGAAACATAACTACTATTGAAATGAAGTTGTTAGAATAAATTCACTTTCATTAATTCCTGAGAATAATAAGAGTATTCTATTTATAGAAGCAGTTAATTATCTTTAAACCAATAATAATAGAGCTCCTTGAAGGGATTTTATAATCTAATTTGGTAATACCATCAGAGATAGGAAATATTACATACACATACATGCACACAAAGCATACATATAAAACAAGTCCTGGGGATGTAATGTACAGCATGGAGACTATAGTTAATAATTCTCTATTGCATATTTGAAAGTTGCTAAGAGGGTAGGTCTTAAAAGTTCTCATCACAAGAAAAGAAATTTCTAACTGTGTGTGATGATGGATGTTAACTAGACTTGCGATGGTGGTCATTTTGCAATATATACAAATATTGAATCATTATGTTGTACACCTAAAACTAATAGAATGTGATATGTTTTCAGGGGTCTTTCTTACCCCTCACTGCTTTCCAGGATCGCAGAGCCAGAAGCCCGCTTTCCGTGTTACGGCCCTTTGTGATACCTTGTGATCCCTGTAACACCAGGGGGCTGAGTATCCCAAATAAAGCAAAAGAAATCTTTTCTGTTGCCAAAGGCCCACAACTTCTGATCCTGAAAAGTAATTACAGGCTTCAGAGCCCTGGTAGTCAAAGCATAGTCAGGGCTCTGCAGCATCAGAGTCACGGAGCTTTCGAGAAACGCCGAATCTCATTCCCAACCCAGTCCTCCTGACTCAGAACCTGCATTTTTATCAAGATCTCCTTGGGGTTTGTGCACACCTCCCAGCGTGCTACTGTGCCTCACCCGTGTCCTTTTCTGGAACAGCGCTTTTGGGTCCTTCGGCCCCCAGGGCAAACATTCCCATCTTCCCTCTGTGGAAGAAACCTCCTTCGGGAAAGGGCGGGAAGCGGTTTGGGTACCAGGTGGGTAATACTTGGTCGTGAAGTCAAGAGAATAATAGGAGAATGGAATCCTTTGATAGTTTTCTGTCTCTTGTGAAATGCAGGAAGCAGCTGCATTTGTGCCGTCCTCCCCTAGAACACAGCTCAGTACCTAACGGGGATCAGGAGTTTCCTTTAGTAAGCACCCACTGGGGCTTTCCTTTTGCACCCGGCCCTGCGCTGACTGCTTGGAATATTCAACTAGGGAGAGCGACTGGTGACCATCATGACACAGCTCCTGTCCGATGGGGAAGAGACGTGCGCAACAGAAGCCGCAATGGCGGCTGGGTCTGGTGTGGCACCTGGCAGGCCTGGCGGTCTCCTTTGAGCTAATCCGAGGCCAGACTTGGTCCAGCTCTGCAATATAAGCTGCCCCCAAGTCGAGTTGAACTTTCTGTTCCCCTAGGCGTAGCAGGGATATGGGCAGGGAGTGGGGACCCTTTCGAGGGGGCGGGGTGGGTGCCACGCTGCGAGGGCGCAGCTGCGAGCGGGCCGTGTGCAACTCCACGGGGGGTTTGTCACCTGACAACCTCTTCCCGCCTTCAGCTCCCGGCCCAGTGTGCACCGCGGCAGCAGCAGCGACGGACGCGTGGCGGCTGTAGTGCTCGGGTGCTCTGGCCTGCAGGCGTCTCCAACAGGTACAGCACGGGGCCCGGGGCACAGAAAGCAAACCAAACTGAAAGGGATCCCCCCCAACAACCTTTGCAATCTACCTTAGCGTCCCAGGGGTCAGTGGCTATAGGTTTCCCCTGGAAGTGGGATCCCACTAGATCAGGCCTGGCACCCCGCCAGCTCCATGCCGTTTCCAGGCGTTGCGACCAGCTTTGCAACTGCAGGGGAACCTATTCCACACCTAACCCTGCCCAGAGCCATTGCATTCAGGACAAGTGGCTCTGGGCCTTCCCCTGGAGGGAAAGCGGTTTCAGTCCTTCCTCTCCTGGCCTGCGCCAGCTTCCACTGACCAGACGTATTCCTGCTCCTGAATGGGGGGTGTTTGAGGCAGGGGGGTTTGAAGGGGCTTAGGATGGGAGGGGGTAACACTGGGGAATGACGATGGGAGACTTGGGGACAGCAGTTGGGCGTGGGTGGGGGCAGGGCTTGAATGGGGGGCAGGGCATAGGACAGAGATGGGCCTTGGGAAGGGATGGGGCATAGCTTGAGTGGGGGCAGGGATTGCGCTTGGGTGGGGGTGGGGCTCGGCATCAGGGTTTGGGCTTAGATGGGGTGGGGCCTGGGTGGGGGCAGGGCTTGAGTGGGGGTGGGACATGGATGACGGTTAGGACGTGGGTGGGGGCAGGGATTGATCATCAGTGGGGGTGGGCTTGGAGTCAGGGGTTGGGCTTAGGTGGGGGTGGGGCTTGGGAAAGAATGAGACTTGGGGGCAGGGCTTGAAGGGGTGGGGCTTGGGTGGGGGCGGGGCTTTTCAGGGGTGGGGCACAGGTGGCAGTGGTAGGACTTAGGTGGCGACAAGGATTGAGCTTCAGTAGGGGTGGGGCTTGGCATCAGAGGTTGGGCTTAGGTGGAGGTGGAGCTTGGGTGAGGGTGGGGCTTGGGTGCTGGGGGTTGGGGAAAGAGATTTAGTGGGGGCTGGGCTTGAGAGGGGTGGGACACGGGCGGGAGAGGTGGGGCTTGGGTGGGGGCGTGGCTTGGGAGGGGTGGAGCATGGGTGGCATGAGTAGGACTTGGGTGGGGATAAGGACTGAGCTCCAGTGGGGGTGGGGCTTGGCGTCAGGGCTAGGCTTAGGCGGGCATGGTATTTGGGTGGGGGCAGGGCCTCAGAGGGGTGGAACATGGCTGGCAAGGGTAGGACGTGAGTGGGGCCAGGGATTGCTCTCTGGTGGGGGCGGGGCTCCAGCATCAGGGGTTGGGCTTATATGGGGTGGGGCCTGGGTGGGGGCAGGGCTTGAGTGGGGGTGGGACGTGGACGACGGTTAGGACGTGGGTGGGGGCAGGGATTGATCATCAGCGGGGGTGGGGCTTGGAGTCAGGGGTTGGGCTTAGGTGGGGTGGGGCTTGAGTGGGGGGTAGGGCATGGGAAAGAGTGAGACTTCGTGGGGGCGGGGTTTGGCAGGGGCGGGGTATGGCTGGCAGGGGTAGGACTTGGGTAGGGACAAGGATTGATCTTCAGTGGGGGTGGGGCTTGGGTGAGGGTGAGGAACGGGAAGAGGTGGGACTTGGCAGTGGGAGGCGGGGTTTGAGGGCGGGGCTGGAACTGAGGGTGGAGCAATAATCTGACTGTAGGATCCCTTCTGGTCTAGCAGCGGACTGCGGTGAGCAGTTTCTTCTTGCGGTACTTGTGGATACTTCTGCAGACCCAGAGTCGGCACAGCCTGAGCAGGGGCATGTGGGGCAGAACCATAGCAGAATACTTGTGTCTTGCTTTGGACAGATCCAGTGGAGCAGTACCCACCATCCCAGGGCCAGGAACTGCCTGACTGTGGACAGAGCTAGAGGGCAAGCCAAGATTGAGTGTCAGTGGAATCCCAGAGTCTTCAGTGCAATCGGGGCCTTCCTCAGCGTGGTGAGCAGCTGTGAGGTGGGCCTGTGTTGGGAGGAGCCTCTGTAACCCTGGCAAAGAGCAGGAGGAAAGGGGCTGCCTGCCAAGGTATACAGGCTCTGCAGGGTCGGGTCACACCTAGGGTGGGAGTTTTCCATCTCCTGCAGTGTGGCAGTGGAGACCCTTTCTGTGTCCCTTTTCTGCACCTGGTTCCAGCTTCCACACAATTTGAAACTGCAAGCTCTTGTTTTTTCAGCACTTGATCCTTACTGCCCACCCTCCACACCTCCCTCATTCCCCTCTTGTTTCTAGGACATTTCAGTGGTTGGAGGCCAGTGACATCACCTCTTGCTCCTCAAGGGCCTTAACCTTACCACATGACACTCTGCGATATAAACCCATGGTCCATGCTGTTCTCGGTATCCACGGCAACACTGCAGCTTGTCACACATTCTCCACACCCACTAGTTTCATTGTATTGTGCAGAGCTCCAGCCATCTTTCTCATCTATCAGGCATCTTCTGAGAAAGAGGGCAACTCTGGATCTCATTCCTCCAGCCTTTGCCCTAGCAAAGAGGGTGCCAGGTGCCCTGGGCCTGCACGGCCCTGAGCTGGGGAGTGTGACATTCTCCTGTCCTCTCCTGCTTGGAGGGCTTTGTCAGTATCCCCAGGTGTCAGGCGCTGCCTCCTGATGCTGGCCTTTTCACCACAGGTACCTGCAGCACACGCAGCAGAGTCCTCAGACTTTGAGGAGGAACCCACGGCAGGAGGAGGTCAGCAGGGAGGGGATGAGGTGGGGGGAGTTTGGCCTGGGGAGACTCCTCCACACTCTACCTTCCACTAATTGACATGGGGAGCCCTGAAAAGCAGGGACTGAATCCCTGTGAGCTGAGATGGGGGCAGAGGAGGGTCTTGTGGTGGGGGTGGGGAGCAGGCATTAATGATACACTCACCCCATTTGCGTTACAGCCTGTGGAAACCTGGAACACGTCTGCCTTCGTACTTGGCACCGGCTCGGAATTCTTTGAGTCCTGGTCAAACTGCGAGCTGATTACTGCCCCTAGTATTAGATCAGTCCATAGATAGTGGGAGCAATGGCCGTGACACTGTTAGAAGATTGGTGCAAGGGGATGGACCTGGACCCCAGGAAGGCCCTGCTGATCGTGGGGATCCCCGTGGAGTGCAGTGAGGCTGAAATTAAAGAGACCGTGAAGGCAGGCTTACAGCCCCTGTGCGCTTACAAGGTGCTGGGCAGAATGTTCAGAAGAGAAGACAATGCTAAGGCAGTCTTCATCGAATTGGCCGACACCGTCAATTATGCTATGATGCCCAGTGAGATACCAGGAAAGGGAGGTGCTTGGCAAGTGGTGGTAAAACCCCGTAATCCTGATGATGAATTTATCACTAGACTGAACTACTTCCTGAAAGATGAGGGCCGGAGAATGGTAGATGTGGCCAAAAGCCTAGGGTATAGCACTCTCACTGAGGGCATGGAGCCAGAGGGCTTGGCCCAAGTCAAACTACCAGTTTTGCAACCTCTGAAAGAAAGCATGTGGTACCGAAAACTGAAAGTGTTTTCGGGAAGTGTTTCCCCAGGCCCAGGCGAAGAGAACTTTGAAGGCTGGCTAGAGCAGGTCACTGACATGATGCAGATATGGCAAGTGCCTGAGGTGGAGAAGATGCGGCGTTTGCTGGAGAGCTTACGTGGCTCCGCCCTGTCAATAATGCGGGTGCTCCGGGCCAACAATGACTCTATGACTATGGAGCAGTGCCTGGACGCCCTGAAGGAGATCTTTGGGAATAAAGAGGACTGGAGAACCTCACAGTTTAAGTTCCTCCAGACCTTTCAGAAGACTGGCGAGAAAATCTCTGTGTTCTTGCTTCGGTTGGAGCCCCTGCTGCAGAGGGCCGTGCAGCAGAGCCCCTTTTCGATGCACAGCACAGACATGATCCGCCTGAAACACATCCTAGCCAGGGCCTCCATGACCACCACCCTCCGGGGCAAGCTTGAGATCCTGGATCAGCGGGGACATCCTCCCACTTTTCTGGAGTTAGTGAAACTCATTCGAGATGAAGAGGAGTGGGAGACTACCATGGCAGTGACGAAGGAGAGGGAGAGGCAAGTAGGAAGGGGCCGCATGGCCTTTGGCAGGCAGGTAGTAGCAGAAGCCAGTGTCCCCATGCCTCAGGTCATTGTGCAGGCGGGGTTGTTTAGGGAGAGCAGCACCCAGACCCGCCTGGAAGGGGCAGTCCCAGCACTGAAGCGCGGGCGAACGCCATGCCTCTATGGTAGTGGAGAGGAAGACCACAGCCAGGCAGCATGTCCTAGGGCCAAGAGCCAACCTCTAGCAAAGCAGAGGCCTCAGTTTGCAGCAGAAGAGTCGGGAAACGAGACAGGGGCTGGGGCCATGAGCCACCCCGAGCCCTAGGAAGCATAGGCTCAAGAGATGCAGGCAGCCCTTCCTCTGGCAAGCAGCAGAAAGATTTTAAGAAGGGGAAGAGGCAGTCCACACAAACAGCAGGGGACTTGAGTGGGGCAGAGGGGCAGGGCAGCCAGGCCCAGGCCGAGCTCCCTCAACCTTCACCAACTGGAAGGGTCTCCATCCACCAAGCTGAACTCAGCTCAGGGAGGTGCTGGCAACATAAGCAAAGATCAACCGCCCCTAGCACATGGCGTGGTCCAGCCACTGGCAGAGACCCCGATGTGGCAGAGGCTGAAGAAGGTGCATTTGGGGGTTCTGGCTGGCCAGCCCCAAATACCCACCTTGTGGCCTCTGAGTTAAGAACGCCAACTGGCTCCCAAGCCACGTGGGGCCCAGAGGAGTCTTCCCCGGGGTCGCCCCTGACAGAAGGGGCCAGCACCAGTGAGGAAGAGCTGCACAGAACAGAGGTAAAGCTCTGGAGGGGAGGCCGCAGGGTCCAGCCTGTGTTCAGGATCATGTACGCTGCCCTAGAGAAGCCCCAGGAAGGCAGCACCCTTGAGCCCCTGTGCAAGTGAGGACAGGAGGGGGTGTTGGGTACCTGGGGCGCCTGTACCCACAGATGGCTTTGATGTGAGTGGGTGTGCAGAGAAACCTTTGGTACAAAGCAGGAGGAGGAGGAGGAAAAGGAGGAGGTAGAAGGGAAGGAGGAGGAAGAAGTAGAGAAGGATGATGAGGAGGAGGAGGATGGAGGAGTTGTTGCAGGAGGGGTGTTGTTTTGTTCTGCTTGTGTTTGCGCAGGGCCACTGGAGACCTAGAGAAAGCAGGCAAGGGGACTTGGGACTGGCCTGACAAACCACAACTCAGCAGCTGCCGTTGCCAAAGCCAGCCCCAAACCCTGCCAACTCATGCAGCCAGCCTGGCAGCTCCCATGAGTGGCAGCCCCAGGCTGGGTGAGGGGCTCCTGAAGACGTCTGCCACCTGCACAGGCCTGGGAGACGTTAGGGGATCATCTCAAGGGTGCCAGCTGCCTGGGCCTCCCGACAGCAGGACCCCTATTCACTGTGCCCTGGGGCAGGCTTCTCCCTGTTCTGGGAAGCCCACTTGTATCTCTGTGGACCCCGTAGTTACCCAAGTGTCAACTAATCCACGCCCAAAACACACACACACAAACACACTAGCCATGATTTCTCTGCAGAGCCGTGGGGTGTACGTGATCCCAGGGTGGGGGTCCTGGCCTAGCAGGCAGCACCCTCTCGGCCCTGGCACGTGCTGTGAGCTTCACTGCCAGCCCGGGCTCTGCTCACTCTCGTCCACTGCCGTGAGCTCAACTCTGCCTTCTTGGTGTGGATTTAGGCCAACCGTTGCTTGTTCCTGTGAAAATGTGTGTGTTCTTATCTGAGCAGTGGCCCCCACCCCACCCCGGAGACCCCAAGGCCAGTCCCAGGAGATGCCTGGAAGGATGGACAGACGAGGGCATGGCCGGCGCTCACCCCGGGACCTCGGGAAGGAAGAACTGGAGCAGGGACATGGAGGGGCTGCGGGAGGCTCCAGTGGGACTGTGCTCTCATGTGCCAACCTGTTGTTACTTGTGGCTCAGTTTCCTGGGCTTGGTGTGGTGTCCCCTGTTGTATTTTCCAGCGTCCTGTGACTGTCTTATGTGGCCCATAGGGCAGGGCCCCACCCGAGAATGTCAGCCAGAGGGGGAGGGGGTGCCGTGGAGTGAGAAGACATTGCCAGTGTCCATCGTTCTGCCAAGAGGCTGGCCGAGGGGCTCCCAGGAAGGCAGACTGTGGTGGGAGGGCCTCAGCTTGGGGGGCAGCTGAGGCACCCTGTTAGAGACTGACTGTCCCCGAGACCTGTGGGCTGTAGCGGCCGTTAGAAGTTCCTCTCCGTGTTGTCATTCCCTTCTCTGCAATGGTTTCAGTAAGTGGTTCTCTTCAATAAATTTCATTGATCGTTCCAGCTGCGTGTCGTCCGTCTCTGCTGTGGGCAACTGAGGGAAGGGTCTGCTGGGGGTGGGGGTGGGGGCAACAGTGGCCTGTCACCTGCATTGGGGTATGATCAGGACAGGGGCCAGGAGGGGCTGTGTCGTCCCCTGGGCTGGACGGAGCTGAGTGACAGGAACTTGTGGGCGTGGGCAGTGGCTGGTTGGGTCCCCAGGAAACTCGGGGTGTCCCCAGAAATAAGCGGGCTAGACGTTGAAGGGAGGGGGAGGAACCACAGGCAGGATCCAGGGCTCCAGGATCCCTGGCACCGCTGTAGGGGCTCAGGGCACCCGGACGGGTCAGAGAGGTCACGTGTGCAATCCCAGAGACCAGCGGGCCACAGAAGGGCCCAGGCCTGAGGTCAGATGCCCCTGCCAGGAGCTGGGCCCAGGACTCTGGGCTGGGGGTGGTTGCCCGCTCAGCCCACTCCTGCCAGCCGACAAGTGGCCAGCCTCTGTCTAGCCACCGAGGGACGTTTGGGGACCTGCCGGTGTTTCATGGCCGAGGGATGGAGGGCGGGCTGGGCGAGGGCTCCACAGCCCTCATGCCCTGGGTCGGGGGAGGAAAGGCAGGGAGAGCCACCCTCCACTCTTGAGTCCTGGGCAGAGGCGGCCCCTCGAGGGGCCGGGGCACCGCCTTCCTGTCCCACTCCCCTCCCAGCCAACTCCTAGGGGCACCAGTCCTGTGTCCTGGGAGCAGGCAGGAGGCAGCGGGTGTGAGTGGGAGGCTGCAGGCAGGAGCTGGGGAGTGGCCCCTTCCTGCCCAGAGCAGGTGGACTCTGGGTCCCTGCAGCCCAGTGAGCCCTCGGTGCCACCTGAGGAGGGCACCCACCCAGGATGGAGGATGCTGCTGATCCTTGAGACCCTCTCTCTGCGCGCCGTGGCTGGAGGGGCAGTGCTCAGAGAGGGTGTCGTCAGGTGTCAGGAGCCAGGAGCCATCTGCCTCCACCTGCCTGGGCTCTGCCCTCACCTCAGGTGGCTGGGAGCCCCACCACAAATTGAGGGCAGCCCGGCCATCAGGCGCCGAGCTGATTCAGAGTCTTCGGGAGACGGAACGAAGGTGCGGAGAGGAGAGGGGACGGATGGTACCGTTGTCCCAGAAATGGTGAGGGGCCCTCGAGGGCCTGCCCAGTCTGTGCCCACTGGCGTCCTCCAGCCATTCTGAAGGGGCAGAGTCTCTGACCACCCCCACAGTACAGAAGAAGAACGCAGTTCCCAAAGCAGGGAGGGCCAGGGCGAGGACCTTGCAGGGAGCTGAGGCCTGGGCTGTGGCCGTCCAACCGGCCTGTGGGAACCGAGCACGTGGGGAGCCCTGAGCTGTGTGGCGAGAGCTGCAGACAGCGGGTCTGCAGGGACGGGGGGCGGGGGCCCCTGGAGATGCTGGGCGCGCAGGGCAATGGAGAGGGGGCGGCGAGGGCTGTCGGGACGGAGATCATGAGGGCCATGCCTGCAGCCTCTTGGGCCCAGTGGACTTGGCTCCGTGTTATAGGGACACCTGCACGTGTCCCATCAAGGGGTACTGCAGGATCCGGGGGGCTCCCAGGTGGGCTCTGCTCTCCCTGCCTCCTTCAGGCAAGGCACCATCCCAGGTCGTCTGTCCCCCGTGTCTTGGCAGGGCCATGGCCACTGGCCACTTTCCGCCAGCCCCTCAGGATTTGGGGGCAGGACAAGAGGAGAGGGGATGGGAGGGGCTGATCCCTTGTCTCTCCCTCGCGCAGTGTACCTGTGTGGGCGTGTTCCCCAAGCAGGTGTGAGTGTGCGTGTGAGCGAGTGAGAGTGTGCATTCGTGTCATTGAATGTGTGTGTGAGTGCAAGTGAATGTGTGTGTGAATGAGTGGGAGTGTGCAAGTGTAAGAGCATGTGAGTGTGTCTGAGTGTGAGCGAGTGGGAGTGAGCGTCACTGGTCGTGTGTGAGAGGGTGTGCGCGTGCGTGAGGCGGGTGGTGGTGGGTTGGAGTCCTTCCTGGACTGCGTGGGACAGCGGCTTCCCCGCCCCGCCCGTGGAGGGGAGCTGCCGCAGGGCCGGCCCTGGGAATCAGCCCTCCTCCTACAGGGGCTGGCACAGAAGAGAGGGGCCCCTGGAGGCCACCCCTTCCCAGCCTTTCCTCCTCTGCCCGCACCCAGCGAGAGATTTGGAAAGAGACGAGTGCGTACTTGTCTTCCCACCCTCATCCCCGTTTTTCCTTTGCATGTTGAGCGGGTACCCCCTACCCCAGGCCCCTGAGTCCTTCGCCCAGGGCCGGTAGGGCAGAGTCCCAAGCCCAAGTGACTGTCAGCCACTTCCCCAGGACTGGGGGACGGGCCAAGGTCTCTTGCTGCTGGGGGCCCCCAGAGCTGTGCAGCCCGCGTTCCTCCCCAGCCAGGCTGGCCCCATGCCCGGGAGCCCGCTTTGCCCTCTGAGATTTTCCCTACCTGAAGTCCCTGTCATTTGGGGTTCAGCCCCTCGCAAGGCCACCATCCTCTTCTAGACCCCACACCCCCTCATGGAGCCTGGAGTAGGGGCCTGCCTCCCGAGCCAGCAGACTCTCTGAGGCGGAGGCTCCAGGTGACGAAGGAGCTGCAGGTGTGGCAAGAGCCATCAACGAGGCAGCAGCCCGGAGCCAGCACTGGCGGCAGACGTTGCAGCCTCTGCTCGATGCTATGGCCTACCGGGTACTGAGAAGGTTTTCTGGGGTGGAAGAGCCGGGCTGTGGAGAAGAGTCTTTTGAGAGCTGGCTGCACCATGCCAACGACACGCTGTACCTGTGGTGCCTCATGTCAGAGAGGGAGAGGAGGAGGAGACTGGTGGAGAGCTTGGGCGGCCCCGCGCTGGATCTCATGTGCGGCCTCCTGGAGGAAAATCCCGACACCCCTGCGCAGGACTGCCTGGCCGCGCTGGCCTGTGAAGATGCTGCCCGGACCCATGAAGATTGCCTCCCAGCCAATGAGGTCACCACTGAGGGCACCCCTGTCACTGCAGAAGAAAGCAAGCCTTCCCCACCCAAGGAAGATACCACCCTGGCTGCCCTTTCCAAGCAAGACACAGCCGAGGCTGCCCCGGCACGTGAAGTGGCCGATGGGGCAGTTCCTGTCACAGTCGACCGTGGAGAGGCTGCTCCTGACCCCCATGATGCTGCCCAGGCCGCCTGGGCTCGTGAAGATGCTGCCCAGGCCGCCCTGACCTGTGAAGACACCGCTGACGCTGCCCCGGCCCGTGAAGAGGCCGATGAGGCAGCTCCTGACACCCATGATGCTGCCGTGGCAGCCCCTGCCCCTGAGGAGACCACCGAGTCCTCTTCTGCCACTGGGGAAGGTGAAAATGTTCCTACTCGTGCGGGGCTAGGTCAGGCAGGACACTCGGGGCCCCGGGGGCCCCACCCCTGCTCAAACGGTCAGTGCTTCTGGGGCGGGCCCAGGAGGTCCTGGCAGTAACCCGGAAGGCCTCGCCCAGGTGGGAGACCAGGAGGCCGAGCAGACCCCCAAGGAGGGGCTCATCCAGGAGGAGCCAGGAAACCAGGACGGGGCTGAGGAGATGAGCCGCCCCGAGTCCTCCTCGGGCAAGTAGGCTCAAAAGGCCCAGGGGCCCCCTCTCCTCCCAGGCAGCAGAGCCCTGGAGGCAGGGGGAGGCGAGGCCAGGGTAGCCGCCTCACCCCACATGGGGACCAGGCCGAGGGAGGGGCCCGTCCAGCCCAAACCAAGCCCCTGGCCCCTCACGATCCCCAAGGGGCCATGACCCGCACCGTCAGCCTTCCAAGTGACCAAGATGAACATATGTTACCCCAAATGGGCAGGGGAGAGGTGTAGCCCCGCTCAAGGCAGCACCACACCGAGCCCAAGCCCCATCCCAAGCCCTGCAAACTCAGGCAGCCAGCCTGGTGGCTCCCCGAGTGGCAGCCCGGCCTGGGTGAGGGGCACCTGAGGACGCCTGCCACCTGCACGGGCCTGGGAGACGTTAGGAGGTCATCTCAAGGGTGCCAGCTGTCTGGGCCTCCCAACAAGGGGACCCCGTTCACTGTCACCTGGGGCAGGCTCCTCCCTGTTCTGGGAAGCCCGCTTGTATCTCAGTGGACCCTGTAGTTACCCACTGTCAAGTAATCCACCCCAAAACATACAAACCCACGTGCCATCATTTCTGTGCAGAGCCGTTAGGTGTGTGTGAGCCCGGGGTGGGGTCCTGGCCTAGCAGCAGCACCCTCTCGGCCCTGGCACGTGCTGTGAGCTTCAGTGCCAGCCCGGGCTCTGCTCTCTCTCGTCCGGTGCCATGAGCTCAACTCTGCCTTCTCGGTGGAGATTTAGGCCAACCGCTGCTTGTTCCTGTGGAGGTGTGTGCTTATCTGAGCAGTGGCCCCCACCCCACCCCAGAGTCCCCGAGCCCAGTCCCAGGAGATGCCTGGAAGGATGGACAGACGAGGGCTGGCCGGCGCTCACCCCGGGACCTCGGGAAGGAAGAACTGGAGCAGGGACATGGAGGGGCTGCGGGAGGCTCCAGTGGGACTGTGCTCTCATGTGCCAACCTGTTGTTACTTGTGGCTCAGTTTCCTGGGCTTGGTGTGGTGTCCCCTGTTGTATTTTCCAGCGTCCTGTGACTGTCCTATGTGGCCCATAGGGCAGGGCCCCACCCCAGAATGTCAGCCAGAGGGGGAGGGGGTGCCGTGGAGTGAGAAGACATTGCCAGTGTCCATCGTTCTGCCAAGAGGCTGACCGTGGGGCTCCCAGGAAGGGAGACTGTGGTGGGAGGGCCTCAGCATGGGGGGCAGCTGAGGCACCCCGTTAGAGACTGACTGTCCCCGAGACCTGTGGGCTGTAGCGGCCGTTAGAAGTTCCTCTCCGTGTTGTCATTCCCTTCTCTGCAATGGTTTCAGTAAGTGGTTCTCTTCAATAAATTTCATTGATCGTTCCAGCTGCGTGTCGTCCGTCTCTGCTGTGGGCAACTGAGGGAAGGGTCTGCTGGGGGAGCACTCCGGGCTTGGGGAGCCGGATGGGCGGGATAACGTCCAAGCACGTGGGGGCGCCCTGCTTCCCAGGGCTGGAGGGGAGCGCTCCCAGCTGGCGGGGAGGGCGCTTTTCGGGTCTGGGGAGGATGCGCCCGGGCATGGGCAGGGGGATGGGCGGGAAGGTGGGGGGCCACTGGCTGAGGAGGGGTGCGGGAGAGGAGGGCCTGGCAGCATGGGTGCAGGTGCCACAGAGAGGGCGAGGCGCCGGGGAGGCAGTGGTCTGCGGGAGGCTGGTGCCCTGGGCGGTGGAGTGGGGGAGGGTCCGGGGAGGGGCTCTGCCCCCCGCAGCGGGTGTCTGAGAAGCTCCAGGTCGCCTCGGTGGAGGGTGCGCAGAGATTGCCGCGGTGGAGGGCCAGGGCCTTGGCCTCCGCGGAAAGTAGAGGCCCTTCGCAGGGGTCACTGGGGGACGCCATACTTCGGGCCCTAGGAGCGTCTCCCTAAGTTTAAAAGGGTTGCGCTTTGACAGAATAAGTTGCCTGGTCGCCCGGGGATTTTGTTTGACGTTAACAACGGTTAACATGTCTCTAAAGATTTGCAAACCTGTAGGTGGAAGAAGAAATCAGAGGAAATCAGAGGAACTCAGGAAGCGTTTCAAACCGAGTGATAGAAAATAGAAAAATACAACTTCCCCAAAGTAGTGGGAGGCAGCGCAGGAAGCGATCAATCGCAGGAAGACGGACAGCTCTAAGTGTGCGCCATAGAACAGGAGGAGGACACGGACTCGGGGCCCTGACGTCCCTTGAAGGAAGCTAGAAAGAGAAGAGCAGAGAGAGCCCAACGTGCCCTACGGAAGAGACCAGAGCGCCCGGAGGGGAGGTCAGTGAGAGAGAGCGGGGGAGAGGGAGGGACAGGGCGGGCCCTCCGCGGGCTCTGCTCAGGCAGCGTGGAACTGGGCCGGAGCCCAGCCTAGAGCGACCCCGAACAAAGAGAGGACAGGAGTCACCCTGCCGGGAAGGAAGGAAAGAGGGCTGTCACTGCAGGCCAGAGCACGTGGAAGAGAAGGAGGCAGGATCCTGGGGAAATTCATGCCCCAAATTGGAAAACGTGAGAGTCCCTGGGGAACAAGGCGACCCCCCCCCCCAGCCCCGAGGCTAGAGGAGGTAGAAAATGTGGGTAGCCTTCCATCTTGTGAAGCAATGTGGTTTCTTATCGAAGAGGTTTCCTAAGATCCAACGACGAAGCCAGCAGCGAGAGGAGGCGCTCCAGGCCCCAGCGTGAGGGGCCCGGGGCTCTGGCTGGGGCGGTGGGGTGGGCTGTGTGGCACAGACACGCCTCTCTCCCCTTTGCACCCGCAGGCCGAGGCCCACACTGCGAGAGTCCGTGCACGCCCGTCCAGTCCCTTCTGGCCGCCCTCAGGTCCTCAGTGATGGTGATGCCACTGGTGATGCTGCAGGACTGGTGCAGGTGGAGTGGCGCAAACGCACAGCGCTCCCTGCTCATCCTGGGCATCCCGGAGGACTGCGAGGACCGGGAATTCCAGGAGGCCGTGCGGGCTGCCCTGTGGCCCCTGGGCAGGTACCGAGTGCTGGGCAACGTCTTCAGAAAGGAGCTCGGGTTCAGGGTCGCTTTGGTGGAGTTCACTGAGTATTTAAATCGAAGTTTGGTCCCCCGACAGATACCAGGCAAGGGGGCACTCTGGGATGTGTTCTTCCTGCCCCAGGGCCCTGATTCTGAGTCACGGGATAGACCCAATTTCCCTGCACAGCCCCAGAGGCAAGCAGTGGCTGGCAGGGCAGGTGTGGCCAGAGCTGCAGGGGAGGAGGCAGCTGCAGGGGAGGAGGGAGCTGAGGGTGAGGCAGGAGCTGGAGAGGAAGCAGGATCCTCAGATGAAGAGGGAGCTGCCGGGGACACAGGAGTTGCAGGCGTGGTAGCATCTGTGGGCATGGCAGGAGCTGCAGCTGAGCCAGAGGCTCCAGGTGAGGAAGGAGCTGCAGGTGTGTCTGAGGCAGGGGCCCCAGAGGAGGCAGGAACTGCCAGTGAGGCAGTCACTGCAGGCGAGGATGGAGCTGAAGATGTGGCAAGAGCTGTGGGTGAGGAAGAAGCCACAGGTGAGGAAGAAGCTGGGAGTGAGGAGGAAGCTGAGGGCGAGGCAGGAGCTGGAGAGGAAGCAGGATCGTCAGATGAAGAGGGAGCTGCAGGGGACACAGGAGTTGCAGGCATGGTCGCATCTGTGAGCATGGCAGGAGCTGCAGGTGAGGCGGGAGCGGCAGGGTGAGGAGGAAGTTGGAGATGTGGCAAGAGCTGCGGGTGAGGAAGAAGCCACAGGTGAGGCAGGAGCCCCAAGTGAGGAAGAAGCCGCAGGTGAGGAGGAAGCTGAGGGTGAGGAGGAAGCTGAGGGCGAGGAGGAAGCTGAGGGCGAGGCAGGAGCTGGAGAGGAAGCAGGATCGTCAGATGAAGAGGGAAACGCAGGGGACACAGGTGTTGCAGGCGTGGCAGGATCTGTGAGCATGGCAGGAGCTGCAGCTGAGGCGGAGGCTCCAGGTGACGAAGGAGCTGCAGGTGTGGCAAGAGCCATCAACGAGGCAGCAGCCCGGAGCCAGCACTGGCGGCAGACGTTGCAGCCTCTGCTCGATGCTATGGCCTACCGGGTACTGAGAAGGTTTTCTGGGGTGGAAGAGCCGGGCTGTGGAGAAGAGTCTTTTGAGAGCTGGCTGCACCATGCCAACGACACGCTGTACCTGTGGTGCCTCATGTCAGAGAGGGAGAGGAGGAGGAGACTGGTGGAGAGCTTGGGCGGCCCCGCGCTGGATCTCATGTGCGGCCTCCTGGAGGAAAATCCCGACACCCCTGCGCAGGACTGCCTGGCCGCGCTGGCCTGTGAAGATGCTGCCCGGACCCATGAAGATTGCCTCCCAGCCAATGAGGTCACCACTGAGGGCACCCCTGTCACTGCAGAAGAAAGCAAGCCTTCCCCACCCAAGGAAGATACCACCCTGGCTGCCCTTTCCAAGCAAGACACAGCCGAGGCTGCCCCGGCACGTGAAGTGGCCGATGGGGCAGTTCCTGTCACAGTCGACCGTGGAGAGGCTGCTCCTGACCCCCATGATGCTGCCCAGGCCGCCTGGGCTCGTGAAGATGCTGCCCAGGCCGCCCTGACCTGTGAAGACACCGCTGACGCTGCCCCGGCCCGTGAAGAGGCCGATGAGGCAGCTCCTGACACCCATGATGCTGCCGTGGCAGCCCCTGCCCCTGAGGAGACCACCGAGTCCTCTTCTGCCACTGGGGAAGGTGAAAATGTTCCTACTCGTGCGGGGCTAGGTCAGGCAGGACACTCGGGGGCCCCCGGGGGCCCCACCCCTGCTCAAACGGTCAGTGCTTCTGGGGCGGGCCCAGGAGGTCCTGGCAGTAACCCGGAAGGCCTCGCCCAGGTGGGAGACCAGGAGGCCGAGCAGACCCCCAAGGAGGGGCTCATCCAGGAGGAGCCAGGAAACCAGGACGGGGCTGAGGAGATGAGCCGCCCCGAGTCCTCCTCGGGCAAGTAGGCTCAAAAGGCCCAGGGGCCCCCTCTCCTCCCAGGCAGCAGAGCCCTGGAGGCAGGGGGAGGCGAGGCCAGGGTAGCCGCCTCACCCCACATGGGGACCAGGCCGAGGGAGGGGCCCGTCCAGCCCAAACCAAGCCCCTGGCCCCTCACGATCCCCAAGGGGCCATGACCCGCACCGTCAGCCATTCCAAGTGACCAAGATGAACATATGTTACCCCAAATGGGCAGGGGAGAGGTGTAGCCCCGCTCAAGGCAGCACCACACCGAGCCCAAGCCCCATCCCAAGCCCTGCAAACTCAGGCGGCCAGCCTGGTGGCTCCCCCGAGTGGCAGCCCTGGCCTGGGTGAGGGGCACCTGAGGACGCCTGCCACCTGCACGGGCCTGGGAGACGTTAGGAGGTCATCTCAAGGGTGCCAGCTGTCTGGGCCTCCCAACAAGGGGACCCCCGTTCACTGTCACCTGGGGCAGGCTCCTCCCTGTTCTGGGAAGCCCGCTTGTATCTCAGTGGACCCTGTAGTTACCCACCTGTCAAGTAATCCACCCCCAAAACATACAAACCCACGTGCCATCATTTCTGTGCAGAGCCGTTAGGTGTGTGTGAGCCCGGGGTGGGGTCCTGGCCTAGCAGACAGCACCCTCTCGGCCCTGGCACGTGCTGTGAGCTTCAGTGCCAGCCCGGGCTCTGCTCTCTCTCGTCCGGTGCCATGAGCTCAACTCTGCCTTCTCGGTGGAGATTTAGGCCAACCGCTGCTTGTTCCTGTGGAGGTGTGTGCTTATCTGAGCAGTGGCCCCCACCCCACCCCAGAGTCCCCGAGCCCAGTCCCAGGAGATGCCTGGAAGGATGGACAGACGAGGGCGTGGCCGGCGCTCACCCCGGGACCTCGGGAAGGAAGAACTGGAGCAGGGACATGGAGGGGCTGCGGGAGGCTCCAGTGGGACTGTGCTCTCATGTGCCAACCTGTTGTTACTTGTGGCTCAGTTTCCTGGGCTTGGTGTGGTGTCCCCTGTTGTATTTTCCAGCGTCCTGTGACTGTCCTATGTGGCCCATAGGGCAGGGCCCCACCCCAGAATGTCAGCCAGAGGGGGAGGGGGTGCCGTGGAGTGAGAAGACATTGCCAGTGTCCATCGTTCTGCCAAGAGGCTGACCGTGGGGCTCCCAGGAAGGGAGACTGTGGTGGGAGGGCCTCAGCATGGGGGGCAGCTGAGGCACCCCGTTAGAGACTGACTGTCCCCGAGACCTGTGGGCTGTAGCGGCCGTTAGAAGTTCCTCTCCGTGTTGTCATTCCCTTCTCTGCAATGGTTTCAGTAAGTGGTTCTCTTCAATAAATTTCATTGATCGTTCCAGCTGCATGTCGTCCGTCTCTGCTGTGGGCAACTGAGGGAAGGGTCTGCTGGGGGTGGGGGTGGGGGCAACAGTGGCCTGTCACCTGCATTGGGGTATGATCAGGACAGGGGCCAGGAGGGGCTGTGTCGTCCCCTGGGCTGGACGGAGCTGAGTGACAGGAACTTGTGGGCGTGGGCAGTGGCTGGTTGGGTCCCCAGGAAACTCGGGGTGTCCCCAGAAATAAGCGGGCTAGACGTTGAAGGGAGGGGGAGGAACCACAGGCAGGATCCAGGGCTCCAGGATCCCTGGCACCGCTGTAGGGGCTCAGGGCACCCGGACGGGTCAGAGAGGTCACGTGTGCAATCCCAGAGACCAGCGGGCCACAGAAGGGCCCAGGCCTGAGGTCAGATGCCCCTGCCAGGAGCTGGGCCCAGGACTCTGGGCTGGGGGTGGTTGCCCGCTCAGCCCACTCCTGCCAGCCGACAAGTGGCCAGCCTCTGTCTAGCCACCGAGGGACGTTTGGGGACCTGCCGGTGTTTCATGGCCGAGGGATGGAGGGCGGGCTGAGCGAGGGCTCCACAGCCCTCATGCCCTGGGTCGGGGGAGGAAAGGCAGGGAGAGCCACCCTCCACTCTTGAGTCCTGGGCAGGGCGGCCCCTCGAGGGCCGGGGCACCGCCTTCCTGTCCCACCTCCCCTCCCAGCCAACTCCTAGGGGCACCAGTCCTGTGTCCTGGGAGCAGGCAGGAGGCAGCGGGTGTGAGTGGGAGGCTGCAGGCAGGAGCTGGGGAGTGGCCCCTTCCTGCCCAGAGCAGGTGGACTCTGGGTCCCTGCAGCCCAGTGAGCCCTCGGTGCCACCTGAGGAGGGCACCCACCCAGGATGGAGGATGCTGCTGATCCTTGAGACCCTCTCTCTGCGCGCCGTGGCTGGAGGGGCAGTGCTCAGAGAGGGTGTCGTCAGGTGTCAGGAGCCAGGAGCCATCTGCCTCCACCTGCCTGGGCTCTGCCCTCACCTCAGGGGGCTGGGAGCCCACCACAAATTGAGGGCAGCCGGCCATCAGGCGCCGAGCTGATTCAGAGTCTTCGGGAGACGGAACGAAGGTGCGGAGAGGAGAGGGGACGGATGGTACCGTTGTCCCAGAAATGGTGAGGGGCCCTCGAGGGCCTGCCCAGTCTGTGCCCACTGGCGTCCTCCAGCCATTCTGAAGGGGCAGAGTCTCTGACCACCCCCACAGTACAGAAGAAGAACGCAGTTCCCAAAGCAGGGAGGGCCAGGGCGAGGACCTTGCAGGGAGCTGAGGCCTGGGCTGTGGCCGTCCAACCGGCCTGTGGGAACCGAGCACGTGGGGAGCCCTGAGCTGTGTGGCGAGAGCTGCAGACAGCGGGTCTGCAGGGACGGGGGGCGGGGGCCCCTGGAGATGCTGGGCGCGCAGGGCAATGGAGAGGGGGCGGCGAGGGCTGTCGGGACGGAGATCATGAGGGCCATGCCTGCAGCCTCTTGGGCCCAGTGGACTTGGCTCCGTGTTATAGGGACACCTGCACGTGTCCCATCAAGGGGTACTGCAGGATCCGGGGGGCTCCCAGGTGGGCTCTGCTCTCCCTGCCTCCTTCAGGCAAGGCACCATCCCAGGTCGTCTGTCCCCCGTGTCTTGGCAGGGCCATGGCCACTGGCCACTTTCCGCCAGCCCCTCAGGATTTGGGGGCAGGACAAGAGGAGAGGGGATGGGAGGGGCTGATCCCTTGTCTCTCCCTCGCGCAGTGTACCTGTGTGGGCGTGTTCCCCAAGCAGGTGTGAGTGTGCGTGTGAGCGAGTGAGAGTGTGCATTCGTGTCATTGAATGTGTGTGTGAGTGCAAGTGAATGTGTGTGTGAATGAGTGGGAGTGTGCAAGTGTAAGAGCATGTGAGTGTGTCTGAGTGTGAGCGAGTGGGAGTGAGCATCACTGGACGTGTGTGAGAGGGTGTGCGCGTGCGTGAGGCGGGTGGTGGTGGGTTGGAGTCCTTCCTGGACTGCGTGGGACAGCGGCTTCCCCGCCCCGCCCGTGGAGGGGAGCTGCCGCAGGGCCGGCCCTGGGAATCAGCCCTCCTCCTTCTGGGGCTGGCACAGAAGAGAGGGGCCCCTGGAGGCCACCCCTTCCCAGCCTTTCCTCCTCTGCCCGCACCCAGCGAGAGATTTGGAAAGAGACGAGTGCGTACTTGTCTTCCCACCCTCATCCCCGTTTTTCCTTTGCATGTTGAGCGGGTACCCCCTACCCCAGGCCCCTGAGTCCTTCGCCCAGGGCCGGTAGGGCAGAGTCCCAAGCCCAAGTGACTGTCAGCCACTTCCCCAGGACTGGGGGACGGGCCAAGGTCTCTTGCTGCTGGGGGCCCCCAGAGCTGTGCAGCCCGCGTTCCTCCCCAGCCAGGCTGGCCCCATGCCCGGGAGCCCGCTTTGCCCTCTGAGATTTTCCCTACCTGAAGTCCCTGTCATTTGGGGTTCAGCCCCTCGCAAGGCCACCATCCTCTTCTAGACCCCACACCCCCTCATGGAGCCTGGAGTAGGGCCTGCCTCCCGAGCCAGCAGACTCTACACATGGGAGTCCTTCCCGGGAGCGTTTGGCCGCCAGCACCTCCAGCTGCCCTGCTCTCAGCCCCAGTTGCCCAATAACAATGTTGCACTTCACTTGAGCCCTGTTATCCT